CACCATGGAAGCGGTGAAGGTGGGGGAGGGGTGTGAGGCGGGAGGGAGTGGGGAGGGGAGAGGCGTGGGGAGAGAGGAGAAGAGATTCTGTATGGAGGAGCGGCCAGTCATTGATCCTGGGGATGACGTCACCTGAAGGGAAAAATTTATAGTGACCAGTGAAATTTTTACTCTAACTCTATATAAAATGTTTCCAATATATTATGACAGACTCGTGAGAGAGAGTGGAATTCGGAAGGGGTGTGAGAGGGGGAAGGGGAGGAGGGGTGAGTGGAGGAGGTGGTGAGGGTGGAGAGGAGCCAGCGTCGCAGCAGGGAGAAGGAGAGAATGTTGAGCAGCTGGTCTGATGAGTAATGGCCACCTGTGCAGCAGATTATTACATAATTATAGTGGCTCGAGTAGCGGTGAGTTTTGTTCCTCACGGACACACGCTAAAGTATGAGATTGTAACTACTTCAATACTGTATTGTGTTTGGTCACTTTCCTTTCTCCCCCTTCCCTCCCTTTCTCCTTGATCACCCCCAACACACACACACACACACACACCAAGGCTAAGAACTGTGAATATGTCTGGCGAGGTAGACCCGTCAATTTCTTTCACAGGTTGCATCTGAAAGAGAGAGAAGAGGGACGGGAAGGGAGCGAGACATACGATGCTGCCCAGCTTCCACAAAAGGACTCTCTGAAAAAGGACACTTTTCTCAAAAGAGCCCCATAACAATACATTACCTCTGAATAAGGGACACCCCTGAATAAAGGACACTTTCTACATGTCCCCAAGGTGTCCTTTATTCAGAGGGTCCACAGTAATTTCCTCACTACACAGCCATTACTGGAGGAATGTACAACCACACAGTGAGAGGGACCGAAATCAAAAAACCCTTTACGCATTAGCTATGCACATATACAGAGGTGCAGGTGTAGCTTCCCAATTAGAGCCTCTGCCAACAGCACGAGGATAATAATCACAGAGAGGGGCAGGGAGAAAGAGGAAAGAGGAGTTGACATGGTACCTTAAATAAACACCACTGATACTAGAGGACACTTCTCTGGTAAGGACAGAGCTTTTTACACAATTTAACTTTAACCCCTGAAAGAACGACATCTCACTATTACGGAGACACTCATCTGCGCCAATGGTGTCCAGATTGGAGGGGTTCCACTGAAGGACCCACTAACCTGTTTCTTGGCCGAGGTGGAGAAGAGACTGATGCTGGACGAGGCTGGGGCAGGAAGACAGCTGCGACTGGCGTGACGCAGCCATCCCGACATCTGACTACCAACAGCACGAATCTATAGGAGAGAAAGAGAATGGAAGAGAGAGGAACAGATGAGCGGTGGAAGAAGCGAGAACAAGACACAATTGGCATGCAGCGCAGTTGCCAAAAATAGCCCACGCCAGAAATAACTCGACAACTACTTCCCTCATTGCTGTGGCACACAACATTTACCAAACGGGGAAATATTCAGTCCAAAACACACAACTGCTGTGCACAGGAAAGGATAGCCACAACAGGAACGGTGCCTCAACCGTAACGATCTGGTATAAAGGTGATGATGATATGATACACGAGGAGATAAAGTCTAATGCAACATGGGTAGGATGGGAATGTATGGGGATGATGGGTGATGCAATAAAATTTTGTATGCCGAGTGTTGGGACTTCCAATGATCTCATAGGTTTTGGGTGTGGCAGGGCTGCAGAAAACCTGCTGCACTGGCTGGCCGATTGTGCCTCATACAATGGCACTTCAAACAGCTCCATGTCCAGTACACCACTGTCCATATTTTACTCCATACATGGCAATACCACGTCCACTGTAGCTACGAGAGGCACCATTATTGCAGTGACTATCACGTGTGTATATACTAGAGCCAGCTCAGCTACGTGATGTCTTTGAGGTGGTGGGGGAGCAGAGGGCGACAGAGGGCGGGAGAGGTGACTATAGACATACTACTACCTGTGGTGCATCATGAGAACACATGCCGTGTGGAGTAAGCAGGTACACCATCAGGATGAGATTCCCAGAATCTGCCAGTGTCAAAAGGTTGCGATAATAACCAGTTTCTTTGGGTTTTTCTTGCTAACACGAGTCCAGTGCATTCACATTGAGTCAATTTACTCTCAAACACTGTCGGTTCTTTGTCTTTATAGAGCGTCAAGAGCCAGTTCTTTAGGACACAGTTCTGTGTACTAATAGGACACTAGAACTCAACCCCTCACTTTAATGCATGGAGCTGTGTGCATTCTCACTACTACGCAATGCATTAACTAAGCTACAAACAAGTCACAGCTTCTACACAATCAGCACAGGGATTTCACTGAAAGTTCTATACCCAAAATAGCGTCACCTGTTCTTCAGAGAGATGGTGGAGTGATCCAGGGTGGGAGCAGAGGGCATGCAGGCAGGAGAGAGACTGCAGCTGAAGTTCTTCATCGCAGCCGGGTTGAGTCAGCCACCTAGCCATCAGGCGAGAGGCAAATAAACACACACACACAATGGGTTATCATGTGTTTGAGCCACTCTGATTAGGCACTGGATACTGGAGATGTCCCACTTCATGATTAGTTGACTCTAATCCATGCTTAACAGCGAGTTCGTTGTTTATTCCCTTGGCCTAAAACCATATTAGTATATATATACTCAACCATGAAATGAGATATGCTGTGTGTTATTATTACGGCCAAAGATGGAGGATAAACAGTGGAAACTCTGAAAAGCACCTTCCAAATAAGGGAAACGCTGCTACACTCTTTACTAAAGCATACTCACCCATGAAACAGTATATACCACCACTCACCTGAATATGTGAGAAGCTGTAAGGAGACTGAGTCTGTCTTGAGTGTTCCCCTGTGCCAGTAGCACTGGTAGAAGGTACTGGACGTTCCTCTCCTCTACAGGCGGCCCAAAGTCCCTCACAAACACCTGCTGCGTCGAGGGGGCCAGCTCTCGGAGGACTGCTGCGGCCAGTAGGCGGAGTCTCCCGGGGCCCTGCTCCGGTTCCAGTACCACAGACTGCAGGAGCTCAAAAACCGACCCACTCAGACTGGAAACGTGGGAACAAGACTGTAAACACACACTCTCCACCGTCACTGTTCTTATATGCGTACTTTCGAGAGTATTTGGTGACGGCATTGAGGACAAATAGCTGTCGCAGGAGGGTAATACAGTTGGAGCCCCTGTCATTTAGTTCCAGAGTCTTCCTCACACTGCCTACCCACTCCTCGAACTCTTTTCCCTGAACATCCCTACAGTGATTGTGCAACCTTATATAAGCAGCTGGACTTCGGTGAAAGTCTAGGTCGCGCAGAGCGGCACATGAAGAGACGGAGACATGCACCTGGCCTGGTGGTAGAGGGCGTCTTCTACTGCTAGCCCTCCTCCCGCGGCCATTACACACGCATATGCACACCAAAGCCGGTTCACAGTTCGACATGAAATTATGCGCATGCGCAATTGTACGCGTAACATCATTTCGCGATATAAAGTCGTCACTGCACTCCTCTATTGACTGTTAGGGCGTATTGCTTAGGTGTGTATACCCGTTTTTCTTTTCTTTTGGTTCTATTTCCGAACTTATCGTAGCAAAAAAACAATGGGAGGGAAATCTTCCAAGAGCAATAAGTCGAAAGACGCCGAGCCGACGCCTCCACTGGACGTTCTAGTCGAGGGAGCAATAGTTTTCCTGACTTCCAAGGCGTCCGGCAAACTCCTTCGAGTCCACGAAGGAAACGTTGATGTAAGTGCAGGGAATATTGCGGTATACTGTATGTAGCTAGAGCTATATAGCGATGTCGCGAGCGGCGCCTCCTACGACGAGCGCGCGTTTCGTCGTAGAGAGTGCCGCCGATACGAGACCAGGTTTTCTTTGTCGATTATCGCACTGAGCCGCGTTTTGCGTTTTGTGATGAAAAGAACTCGCACAGGATTAGCGTATCTACACCCGCACTGCGTTCGCGAAAGTCGGGGACGCGTGAAATTTGATATCGTGTGTGGGGCTGCAATGCTCGTAGCTAGTCACTGTTTCAACTTCGTTTGTATAATACTTGCAGGCTCAGGGTGAAGAGGGAGAGAGCGCCCAGTTCACGGTCTGCAAAAAGGATTCTGAATCCGGGCACGTCGTGACGCTACAACACGGCGAGAAATACCTCAGCGTGTCAGAAGAGAAAGTTGAGCTGTGCGATGAGTCCAGTGAGCTGAAAGTGCAAGAAACAGAAGGATGTGTGTCCTTTGAGTCAGCCAAGGCAGCCGGACACTACATCTCTGTCCAGGAAGACGGGAGTGTCCAGTCGGGTTCAGAACTAGGCCCCTCCACCCATTTCACCGTGGCCTCTGCTGTCAAGAAAGAGGAGCCAGCTCCAGCCGAGAACACTGAAGCCGCCAAGGAGGAGGAAGGCAAGGGACAAGAGACGAATGCAGCGGCAGAGACCGAGGGGGAGAAGGGTGAGGAGCAGGCGGAGCAGAAGGAGAACAAGGAGCCGAAACAGGAGGAGGGACAAGAGGAACAGTCACCTAGTGAATCTTAGGCCGGGCGGGGCAACGCACACTCTGTGTTGCTGCCAGCCAAACCATTCATAAGTTACCCTTTGTGTTGCGTGCCAAATTTTTCCATTAGAACTTATGACTCTGCATTTGAACAGCAAATAGTGTAAGGCTCCAGTGTTCACATACATTCTCGCATGTTATTAAGTGCTTGTGTAATCCAGTACCCTTTGTCGTCGCTTTACTAATGCACACAACAATGATAGACACCAAAATGCAATGCAGTGTATACACACAGGGACAAATTAGTGTGTTTATGGAACATAATGAACCAAGCAGTGCTTGCAATTAAGGTTCATTGATGTAATTTGCTTCTTAGACCCAACCCTATTGTTTGTGGGCTGTCCAAGCATGTCTGTTCCTGCCCTTTCCTCAGAGACTTAACCCTTTTCCTCGCGACCTTTCTGAGTCGCTCGTTTCTCTGTTTGATCTTTTCCATTCGCTTACCTCCTCTGCCTCCTCCACCACACGTCACTTCTATATTTAGCCGTCTACCTCCAATCAGGCTGTGGTGGAACTTTAGGGCATTCTAAACGGAGAGAAAACACGCTCACTTTCACCGGAAACACTGATAAAAAGTTTACCCAAAGCTACACGCAAACATAGCCTCAGCTAATGTGTGTCACCTTCTAAGGAGTTGGCATACGTAGGTATATATAAAATTACCTGAAGTGATTTCGTGTCGGGAAACTCAGCAAAGCAGCAACCCCTGGATTCCCCGCTGCCCCTCTTCGTTAGCAGTCGAGCTTCCATAATCTTGACTCCTCTCTTGGCAAAGTGTTCGACGATCTCATCACCAGTGATAGAGAAGGGGAGGTTTCCAATGAAGGCAATGTACCTGCGTTTCTTCCCACTGAATTCTCCTACAACTTGCCCACCTTCAGTATCAGAGTCACTGTCAGAAGCAGTGAGGTCCGAAGTGTCCTTTTCCCTACTGCACCCAGTAGTCAACTCCCTCGTTGAGAACCTGTCTCTTTGCCCAACTGATAATAAAGGGGCAGTTGTGTCTCTTTTAGCCGATTGGCGATTTCTGGATCTGGTAACATTGTCTTGTGATGTCTTCTCGGCTGACGAGACGGTGTGAGAAGATCTGAAACCAGATGTGTTTGCATCTGGAATCATAGTGTCTGTTGGTTTTTCCTCAAACTGAGTTTGTTCCGCTACATCTCTCTCCAAAGGCTTCGATTTTCCTCTCTCTTTCTTCTGGTTTCCACCAGCTTTGGGCTCTGCCAACAAGTTTATGCGCACATCAAAGATGTGAAGTCAGCCAGTGCAATTGATGGTAATAGAGGGCAGACTCACCGCTTTTGCTTTTGGTCTTGGCTTTGATCTGCTTGGCCCACCACCTGCAAGGTGCCGACAATGGTAGTCGGTAGTTGTGTGTGTGTGTGTGTGTAGCGTTTCCCTAGCGAAATCGCACATCTCTCTGTATGGGATTCTTACTTTCGTCTTCTCTCTTTCCTGTCAGCTAGTACGGTAGCCATGGGCTGCTGTATGGAACGTAAAGAGCGGTATAAGAATCTTCCACTACACGTGTGATGACCACGCCCACTAACGGTCTCACTCGAATGACGTAATGGCTGGAGGAGGAGGAGGAGGAGGAAAGGAGCTGTTCTCCAGTGAAGACTCCGGTCGGTGGCGAGCCTCCCTCGACAGCTATGACCAGGTTCTAACTCTACTGGCATCCAGCAAGAAACGTGGGAGCAGCAGCAGCAGTTTGAAGCTCCTGGACAAGTGGTGAGGAGGCGAACGACTCTGTTTTAGCCCAGCTATATACCGAGTCTCTTGTGACTCTAAAAACTGATGCTGCAGGTATCAGAAGGAACTTTCTGTCAGCGTTACCTCCCGCAGTAAGCCCCATCTCACGCACGAGGAACTGTGCCAGTTGATGCAATGGAAACTCGCAGTAAGCTCTAACACTTGCTGCCGAATTATGTATAACTCACACTATTTCATTCTCTGATCGCAGAGGGGAAAGTTTCGACCGAGACTGATGGAGATGGTCCGACAGAACAGCCCAGAGGATGTGGAGAAGGTAACAGGATCAGCCATTGGAGCTCTGCCTGACCTGGAGAGAGCTGTCAGACTGGCCACCCAGTTGCGAGCCGTCGGTCCAGCTACTGCCTCAGGTCTCCCTCTCTCTCTCTGTCGTACAGGGAAATCTCTGACTAAGGGACATCTTGGAGACATTTAAAGTGTCATTTATTCAGGTGTCCTTAGTTTTCCTGGGGTGTAGCTGCCTTTGCTATGCCTTGGCCTTGTTGAATGGGGCAGAACCAGTGTCCCTTATCGCGTCGAGAGGTGTTCTTTATTCAGAGGATTCTCTTTCACAGGTTCACTGTATTCGAATGTATTCATCTTCTCTTTAGCTAATTCTGTGTACAACTTGTGTTCTTATCGTCTTCTCTCTAGCCATTCTCTGTGCAGCGAGTCATGATGTGCCCTTCATGGCTGACGAAGCAGCTGCATCAGTGGTCCCCAGTCTGGGGAAACTCACTTACTCCCTCAAACAGTATCTGACTTATGCCAGACTCCTTCAGGAAAAGGCCAGTCGGCTTAACCGTGGAGGTCAGCACCACACTCTCACAGTTTTGCCATATACAGTGGAATCTCTTATAGAGGACACCTCCCAATGGACACTTAGAAGAACATTATTCTGTGTGGAATATGTGGCCGAGTTTTATTTTTTCCCATTCCGCAGAAACTTCTGTATTATCTATGGTTCCATTGCTCAGAGGTTCCACTGTAGTTACAAAGTGTTTGACTCTGACTTTCGATACAATCAAACTTCATCTTCAGGTTTAGCATCAGTGTGTCTCTATCTCAGATGGAGAGATGGTGTGGAGTGCCCACGACGTTGAGCTGGCTCTCTGGTCCAACCACCTCTCCACCAGACTCCCCCAGGACATCCAGTCCTCCCTGCTCGGGAAGAGAGATACGGCACCACAGCCCTCGACTAACAGTAGGAAGAAAGCAAAACAATCAGCAGACTCCTCGCCATAACCTTGTATTCATAATAGTGGTCGTTATAAAAGAAACGTGGAGATTTGTCAGACTCAGAGTTGGAAAAGGGATGAAAAAGTTAAGTGTAGTCACACGTAAAGCTGGTGGTAGTGCAACACATGATATTATTGATGAGGAGCTCTAAAGTGAAGTGGTCCAAAAATGTAGTGAGTGGTCATAGAATGAACATGAGGCCAACAGGTGAGGGGAAAAGGTCCATGCCCTGCACCAGTCAATACCATAGGCAAGAGAGCTGTGCTCTCGGTACTCACACACTCTCCTGACAGACACACCTGAAGAACAGAGACAGAGAGGGGGGCATGCAAATACCGGTATCTATACTATAGCTGGTTCTGATTTACGATGTGTTTCTAGCACTGAGTAGATGTGGCCAGCATTAATTTTATATACGCCTGATGCATGTTTCAAAGTTAGCTGTGTGTCTCATAGGTTGTCATACCACTGTCATCCAGGTACCAGTTAAGGATCTTGAAACCCTCGTGCATGCAGGCCACAGCCATGAGGTCAGAGTTCGTGGGATGCCATTTGACCCTCCACACGCCACCTCCCACTGCAGCCTCTTTGACTGGTTTCCTTAGCAATCTGGTGTCCCATAACAAAACCTTCTCGTCGTAACTGCAGCAGCAAAAGAGTCATTCATAGGCCACAAAGCATATTTCTTAACTGCCCTCGCTCCCTGGCTTATCCTCTCACTGCACTATTTATGGACGTGCACGGATCGAGGAAGAGCCTAGAGACAAGGGGTTCTTTTACCTTCCTGATGCTAGGAGGTGGTCTTTAGTAGGATGAGCTTGCAAACTGCACACTCCCATAGTATGTCTAAAATACGGCAGAGAAATTCTCACGTGGACTTAAAGAAAGGGGTTCTCACTCTCTGGTGACGGCAGCAGGTCTGCTGGGTTCAGCTCTGGTGTCCCACACACACATCCTGCAGTCGTCTCCCCCGGAAAACAAACACTGACTCTCTCGCGCAAAACACACGATCCATGCCTCGAAATCATGGGCTCTCCATCTCTGGAGAACTCTGGACGATGCCCCTCCTCTCTCCCCACAGCTGACAATGCTCACTGACCCAAGAGAGTCACTCAATGCCACTAAACACTGCTGGCTATGGGGCTAATCATGAAAATAGACGTGTAACGTGAGCTGCTAAGGATTCCAGACCTGTCTCTGTTCCAGTCCAGCGAGAGACAGAGCCCCAGTTTCCCATTCCTGGGGCAAACTGCTGCCTTCTCCAGCTCCTCAAACTCCCAGCTTTCCTCTCTCTACGTAAGTACAGTCAATTCAGATGTTCAATCAGCTCCTATCGCTAGATGCATTGACTGACAGAGGTGATTGCTAGTGTGCCAAACACCACATCACCAGATGATGCTGCCAGTGCCAGAAGAGGTCGGGCAGATTGAACTCTCCTGCACAGCAAGACAGAATCACCACAACACTAGCTATACTACATTGATTAGTGTCTTGCCATTTCATATCTAGTATCCCATAGTCCAGATCTTTCCTCTGCAGAACTTTAACACAACCTTGTCTGCGAGACACGGAGGAAGAGTGGGGATAACTTTACAATGCTGAAAATCTCACTCTTTGGTTTCTGCACGTTCGAGTTTGTGAAAGGAAAGGGAGCCGTGCCGTCTCTCGGTGGATGAATCAAGCTGGTAAGTTCCGCATGCGGCTATTTCTCTGTAGTTTGCAGTCGGACACCACTCCACCGTGTCAGCGGTCAGCTCCGTATCGTACTGTTGCAGCTTGGTCGTCGACATGGAAGCTTCTGGCCTCGTTCTGCAAGAACTCGAAAAAAACTGCACGTGGTTTGCTGAGTCAGCAAAAATTGTGCCACGTGATACGAAATGATGACGTCACAAGCGTTCGTGTGCGTGTGCGCGGCGGTGGTTGGCGACTCTGAACTTACTGGTGCCTTCCAGCGCTGCAGCTTCCTCTCTCTAAACCAGCCAGCTTTTTGTTCTGACAGAAGACGGCCACCCCTATCTCAGACTAGGTGAGCCGTAACAGCGACCGTGGCGCGTGTATGCACGCGATTCCCAACCCGCAGTCCGCCCCTTGTTGATCTTTCAACACATCTCCTCACAGAGCGGTGTGTTAGCGGCGGGCGGGGAAGAAAGATGTCGGTCATCCACTTCAAGTTCAAGAACAGACCGGACTACGAGAAGGTGGCCATCAGCGGCCTGGAGGTATCGGGCAAGGAGCTGAAAGAGGCCATCATGAAGAAGAAAAAGATCGGCCATTCGAACCTGGAGATCAGGGATGCCCAGACAAAGAAGGGTGAGTGACAGAGGGTTTAAAGTACTGCGAGGAACGTGTTTGAAAGAAAGCAAGGCCAAGCATTGACTCGTTGATGTTTTGAACTCTATTTAATGCCCACTGTTGTGCAACGAATGCAGTCACATGTTCTCTTCTCTCCACCGTGTGTGCAGTCTACTCTGATACTGACATGATCAAGAGGAATGCGTCGGTGGTTGTAATGAGGAGCGTTATCCCAAATGCTGCAAAACTCCCAAAGACCCAGTAAGTGAGGGACGAAAGAGCATGATTGTAGTGTAAATAGAGCTCAGAGCATTCTCTGCCTTATTGCTGCATGAGTTTGACCTTAGAACTGATGAGGTAAAGTCATTTTCGTCCGCCTGTGTGTCAATTAGGAAGAAGCCATAGGGTTTACATCTTGTGCCAAATAAAAAGGCTGTTGTTGCATTTATATGGCGTGCAGACAGGTGTGGTTTTTACCATTTTCTCTCCCCACACACAGGCACAAGGATCCATCCTTATTACCCTCTGCAGTATGTGGAAGTAGTGTTAGTCCTGTTCTTTCTCGTGTTATCGTATATACCTCCTTACATCCTGTATGTTATCTGTATACTAGCTCTGTATGTCACTGGACACTGTTTGTACATGTAGTAGTGATGTTCACCCTATTGTGTATGCCATGCCAAATAAAGCTCTTTTTGAAAGAGGGCGGGTGGGTGGGAGGGTAAATTGTATGTGTCAGAACAGTATTTCATGGGGTGAGAAAGAACAAGTTCCCGAGAGAAAGTTGTTTTGGCTGAGGGATCTATCGTTCTGTGACTATTTCTGGAGACGTGGGGGCTGTGGATGATCAGAACCTGCTCGACTACAGCAACAATAGAAAGAAGAGCTGAAATCATTCGTACATGTATACCGTCTCCTCCACAAGATCAATCCTGCAGTGTGAAAATGAGGCGTACCAGTAGGCGTATTTGCGAAAGATGTCTGCAGCGAGCAACAAAGAAGCGTTGAATTGTCGAAATTCGAGAACTTTTTGGAACGTTTTCACTGACTCATCTTATCATCAAACAGTTTTGGACTTTGAGAAATGGACAAAACTTTCATCAGAACTATGACCTCTTTCTCACTTCTTTTGTCATTTTCTGTTGTCGTATTGTGAAGATCTCTGGTATTCAGAGCTTTTTCATCCAGCGTTCTAACCGTGATAGTCTGTGTGTGTTTCTCCCTGCCCTGGTGAGATCTCTCTGAATCCCACTCACAGCTGTGTGAGTGCCGGAGACAGGAGTGTACATACATACACGTTAGTTGTAGAGTAGTTAGTAATGGCAGCTCCACTTCCCTGCTGCCATGTGTGTGTGTGTGTCCCTCTCCCTCCTCCATGCCCCATCTCCTCCTCCCCCTCCGAAGGGCCTGGACCCACAGACCTTCTCCAGCGAGGCTAGCGACCCACAGAAGGTGAGTTGGTGGAATTTTTTGTCTCCACTAACTTTTTTCTCTCTTCCTCTCTCCTCTTATCCGTCACCCTTTCCTTCTCCCTCCTGCAGACATCAGACCTAACGACACTGACAAATGAAGAGGACAGACTGGAAGCTATGATGAAACAAGCTGGCGAAGGCTACACAGCTGCTGAGTAAGTATTACTTCTGCTACTACAGTGGAACCGAACCCTCTCGTAGGGCACCCCTGAAATGAGGACACTTATCTTCCAACAGTTTCTTGCATAGAGCTAACCCCTGAAATAGGACACCTTACCGCATCAATATGGACACTTCTTTTGTGTACTGGTTGGCTGGAAGGGTTCCACTGTATACATATTTCAAATCAGTCAATGAATGTAAAATTTGTATTGCGGCCGTGTGAACCTGAAGCTATGCGAGGTATCCAGTAAAGGCAGGAATCCACCCGGGATTCTTTCGAGGGCCTCCTCCCAGAGGATACGTCTGCAATCGCTGCCGCAAACCAGGACACTGGATACAGCTCTGTCCCACCAATGGAGTAAGCAACATCCAACCTCTCTCAGTGTATGGTTCCTTATCACGCGTGTTTCTGTTCAACAAGGACCCGGCATATGACAAGCGAAACAAGCAAGAACTGCTTCAAAAGACAAGGTCTGCTTAAAAAAAGAACGACAAGGGCTAAATTTAGAAACGTTACTAAAATTATTTCACTGGCTTAGTTAGTAAACCATCTCTCCTCTACACTAACTAAATGTCTGACTATTCTCTACCACCGTCACATGCCCATATAATGTAGTACTGTGGGAGGTTCGAAGGCCAAACACGCAGCTCCTCCACCGAAGGAAAAGGAGGTCCCAGAGGAACTGAAGTGTCCAATCTGCAAGGTCCCCATGAGAGATGCCGTCGTCATTCCCTGCTGCAACAAGAGCTTCTGTGATGAGTGTAAGCTCCTCTCTCTCTCACTCACTCTCTCTCTCTCTCTCTCGACGATGGATTGCTAGTTGCTAGTGCAGCCTCAAGTCAACCTGGTATCTCTGCAGGTATTCGAGAGCACCTGCTGGAGAAGGACTTCACCTGCCCTCTCTGTGAGGCCGAGGACGTGTCCCCCGACTCACTCAAACCTAACAAACAACTGAGAGAGGTGGGCTTCAATTAGAGACGGTTGCATGGGCACAGCAGTTGGCCATACTTTACCGTGATGTTTCCGAAATGTGACTTTACTGTGAATGTGCTATAAAGTGGGTGTTAGAGATTGCATGTATGCGAAAGTTGCTAAACCTTCTGAAAGGGACATTGGTTTGTTAAATTTGTCCATATTAGGGACATTTGTTTGTTAAATTTGTCCATATTGCAAGTGATGCTGCATGTCAGCGAATAAGGGTCAATTGCAGCTGTAATTGAACGCCAGAACTTTCTTCTCTCTTCCTCTCTTTCCAACAGTTGGTGAAACAGTTCAAGAGCCAGGTGGCCGAAGAGAAAGGAATCGCGGTTGCGTCTCTCTTCTCTCGCTCCGGTCTGACACCTCACCAGCTGTCTGCCTCGCACATCTCAAAACCTCCGCTCACTGCCTCAGCAGCTCTTCTGGAGAGACTCTCTGCTGCTAGAGCCTCTCTCCCTCCAACCTCCTCCTCCTCTTCTTCCTCTGCCTCATCTTCAGTGTCCACTGTTGCTGCTGACAAGTCTAGTGTCTCCACTTATTCTGCTACCACTGAGGTGCACGTGTATACATTTTATATGTTAACTCATCCTACATCGTATTGTACATGTATTCGTCATCGATCTTTGGCTCCAGAATTCACCACCAGCTGGGACCTCATCCTCAGCCCCAGCTCCTTCAGTGAAAGAGACAGGCACAGAGGACAAAGGTCAGACGGACCATTCTCCGGACAAAGACAAGACGTAAGACAAAGTGTATGTAGCTATAGTCACGTGTTAGTATTACTGTCTGACCCCAGGAAAGTGGAAGGGGCGTCTTCCAGTGACAAGACGACTTCTGATGGTGCCTCACTCACTGTCCCTGAGCCTGTCAGGGGAAGAAGTCCATCCTCCTCACCTTCTCGGAGTGTATGTCTCCCTCCCTCTCTCCCGCCTGTGCTACAACATTCATTTCCTGCCTCTCACAAATCCCTCCACTCTTTGCTATATATTATACTGGGAAAATTTCAAAGGAACTTCGCATATAGTAGCAGATACTTGTTACAAATTGTCCCTTCTCTCAAAAATTTGCCACCTGCAGATGCCCTCTCGGCCACAAAAATCACAAAGATTTACCCACTGTGGGGTTGTAGGCTTGCTCAACTCACCTAATAGAAGTCTCTTACGATGCTCTGCTGTTCTCATTCTCTATTCCTCTCTCCTTCTCTCCCTCTTATGTATGATTATCTCTTTGTCTCCGAACCACAGAAATCCCCCAGTCCACTGGATGTCAGGAGGCCCACACAGCCGATCGTCCCTGTGCGGAAACCACCACCGCCACGCCACCCAAAACACCCTCTCTCCCTCCTCCAGCCTCGTCTGCCGATAATGACAGGGTTGCCCCCTCCTGGCCTCCTCCAGCTCCCCCACCTTCACAATCAGGTGGCAGCCGGTTTCCCTGGAAACCCCAGCATCCTGAACTCTGTACCCGGTCTGGGCGTGGTCCAGACTGCCCCGCCCACTGTTGTCAAGGACTACCGGGCAGAGGCGGAGTTTCTGCTGAATCAGAAGCGGCCACGCCCGGCCTCACCTTCGCCTCTCACTGCTGAGGAGTTCTATCGTCAACAAAAGTTTCTCCACCAGTTCATTGGGTGAGCATTGTATGTAGTACGTAGGTTTTCTTCCAAAATTGAGTCGTTAGTCTAATACACAGTGCTAGTCATTCAATAGGCCCCCCCTACCCACAAAACCTTTGTCACTGCAGGCACAGGTCTCCGGCTCATTCAACAGGTCAGGAATCTGCATACTCCCGTTCCAGTGGCTCTGAATCCGACGTGTCCGATTCCTATTCCTCGTCTGGGAGTGGGTCTGAATCTGACGAGTCAGCAATCTCCCGTAGCCCCTCCCCCCAGAAACGACATCGCGTGGGCTCGATGCACCGCCACAAAAATAAACAGGGAAAAGAATCGCTTGCACTCTCGAAGGAGAAAGCCAGGGAGAAAGAGAAGGAGAGAGGACGGCACAAGAAGAGGAGGAGAGAAGTGGCGGAGGATGATTTGGATCACCGGGCACCCAAGAACAAGAGACATCGTCGCCACAAGAAGGCCGGGAAATCCGGAGACGTGAGCTCAGATCTGCTTCATTTCTCGTCGGATGCAGCTGCCAATTCTGACACGGCGCAGCGGCGACATCGACATCATCGGCACCATCGGAGGAAGAAGGGGCGGAGACACCGGCATCGCCACGACAGAGATGAGGGAGGAGAGGGAGGGAGGGGCTCCGATCTTGAGGCTGAAGAAAACCAGGTGGATGGGGGTGAAAATCCAGAGGATGATTTGCCAGAGAGCGAACGAGGAGGTGGGAATGAGGTGGAAGGTAGATCAGTTCCAATCTCGGGAGACGGGGAGGGTTCCCCTGCTGTTACAGTCAGTAATGAGACAGAGGGTTTGGTTGGGGAGGAGCAGGTGAAAGGAAATAGTGGCGGTGGTACAGTGGGTGAGCCTACTGAACCAGAGACATTGGCTGGGAAAGTTACTGAGGAAGAGTCTAGTGTGGAAGTGGGGGTTCTGGAGACTGGTGTAAAGATTGGCGTAAAGATTGATACCAAGTCACTGGCAGGGGGTGTGGCTGAGAGGCGTGGGAGCTGCGACCGGCTCCTGGACGATATCGATGAGCTCCTTGCCGACGAGAAGACTCCAACACTCGAGGAAGGCTTCACTCTTATTCCTACAGCAGCTAAGGAGGCTTTGGGAGAGCGAGGAGAGGGGGAGGAGAGAGGGAGAGGAGGAGAGAAGAGGGAGGAGGCGAGTGTGCCTGGAATGGAGGTAGAAACGCCAGTAGATGGGCCCAGCGATACGAAGGAGAGAGAGGGTTCGCAGGGAGTGGGACACGGCAGAAGTTGAAGAAGAGAATGTTTCACTCCACACCGAGGAGACCATTGATGCCGACACAGCTGACATGGACGATGACAGAGAAGGTTGGTCGATATACATAGCTAACCTGATCCACTTAAGGGACACTTTTCGGTGTAGTTGCATGTGTACTTCTGAATAGTAAGGGATGGCTTTGAGTAAACAACGTTGCCATGGTGTCCCCTTTCCAGAGGTTTTCTTTCACCACTACTGTTTGTGTTCCTTGCAGGCTCCACTGGCAACGGCCTGGAGGAAGGAGAGGTGTTGAGTGATTCTGAGCAGCCCGCCAGTGTCCTCCTCAGTCAAAGTGTTGCCCACCACCAGAAACCCAGACTGAGAAGTGTCGCAAGCACAGTTCAGGTATGCACATTCTCATTCACCAAAAATTTTTAGGTTTAAAAATTTGATCGTAGCACACGAAAAAACTACAGAATCGCCAAATTTAATTGCTGCCAAAATTTCTCTCTCTTCTCTGTCAGGCTGTGAACTCTGAAACACCAGACACGACTCCGTCCCCCAGTGATGTAGCATCGATCGAAGTTGACACGCCTTCCAATACTTCTCCCGTTCCTCCTCCCCTTCCTCCTCCATCATCATCTTCTTCTTCCCTGCCAGCAGAGAAGATACGACTTGTGAAACACAAGCACCACCACCATCACCGACATCGCGACAGAGAAAACAACGATCACGAAGGACCGAGACCAAAGAAGAAGAGACGGACGAAAGACAAGCCTGAAAAAGAGGTGTTGTCCTTGGCAGGGCACCATAGGCACAAGCAGAGGAAGAGGGAGAAGGAGGGGGAGAGAAAGAGGGCAAGGGAGGGGGAGGAGAGGAAGAGGGAGGGGGAGAAGAAGAGGGCGAGGGTGGGGGAGGGGAGGAAGAGGGATGAGAGGGGGAGGGAGGGGGAGAAGGAGAGGAAGAGGCACAAGCACAAGCACCAGAAAAAGAAACACAGGCAGTCATCTTCATGAAAACATTGTCTTCCCCCGTGACGTAACGTGATTGTACAGCCAAATTCATTGCTAAAGCTCGTCCCTAAGGACGCTGCACAATTTCATGTTGTGTATTATTACAAGTTCCTTCAATTGGACGTTGCTTGATGCATGCGCTAATTATTGCAACGTTTAATGCATTTTCAGTGGCTTCAAAACAATGACACCCTAACATCCAGTCTCCTAGGAAATTTCCGCTGTCAATCCAACTCCATATCTTTCATCTTGTGGCGGAGGATTCGTGGGTTCCACTTCAAAATCCCACTGTTGCTGGTTCCCCTCAGTTGTCGAATTTTGTGGCGGTGGCCCCTCAGATCTGGCCCCTGCTGATGTCTGCTGGGGTGTGCTGTTGGTAGAGCTGCTGCTGTTGGGGGGTAATTATTGGGCCCCCTTGTCCCCCAATTCCCCCTCCCATCACCAACCCCCCTGCGGGGACCTGAATTGGGACCCCCTCCATTCGAATCCCCACCACTTGAATTTGGCCCGGTTGAGGGTGCCCGAATCTGATGTTTCCCCCTGCTTGTGGGGTTCCACCAAATTGAATATTACCCCTAGATTGTAGGGGTCCCCTAACTCTAATGGCCCCTTGTGGGGGGTTGTTAGCTCTGGGGGTATAGGTATAACCCTGTTGGGGGGCCCTTGCTCTTTGATTGTTTCTCTGGGGGGCTTGATTACTTGGACGAGGGGGGCCAAAGTGAATATCAACTTGTGGGGGTCCAAACCGGATGTTCGATGGGAAATCCAGGGAACGGAAATGGAATTTCCCCAATGTAGGCCCCCATGTGAGGGGGTTCTGCGGTCTCGGGGGTCGGCATTGTCCCGACATGAATGTGGGTGGTTCCCGTTGACGAGGGGACCGTGAAATTCATAGGCGGGGGTCCAGACGAACCCTGACCCCCCGCGGCAGCGGCAGACACAGCAGCTCCGGCTGCCTGTGGTAGAACACTGGATATTGAGTTCAAGATCCCCTCTGGAGGTGGACAGGTCAGGGTTAACAGTAACATGAACACATTAGAACCTTATTATGGGGTACAACCGGATGTATGTATATACACATTTTGAAATAATGCTGGGAGGGAGTTGTGGTTATAGTAAAAAAATTGTGAGGTAGTGTCACATTTCAGCCCACTAAATTTCGCGAGCAGCATCCTAAACCACAAGATCGAACATAAAATTTCCTCGTGATAACATACATACATCTCACACGGCAGGTTGCGGTATGCATGCTTACCCAGGAGTCCTCCAGTGCCCCCCAGACCACTGAAAATCCCCCCCGAGGGGCCCGTGGTAGTGCCGGCCGGTCGAGCCTGATTGGGCGGTGCAAACCACGCCTCCCCTATCTTGTCCAGGTACTGCAGAGAACAGACACACAAACAGGCAGAATCGTCTCTGAATCCGAGAAACTAACAATTTTTGCACCGACAAAAGAAAGAACTCGCTACTATTATCACCTCATTGAAGGAGGGGTCTCTGTTGATAGTTGGTGAGTAGTTGTTCCGAAGGCACTGAAACACCTCTCTACTGCGACTGCAGCAAACACACACACACACATACACACATTCAGAGACCAAAATGAGATCATACGATAATAATATAGCGAGAAACGTTTACAGTTTGGCAACAAATTTCACAGATTAATAAACGAATTTCTCCCTTGTAGTCTCCTGCTCGACGGTATTGTTGTTTTTGACCTCCCTTTAGTAATAGACAGATGCGACGCATTTTTGGTGCGCGCAAGCGAGCAGTTAGGGTATAGTGACTCACTCTTTGCAGGCGCAGAGGAGGAACCAGACAAAGTTGAGTGTGGGGTGGTGGAGATACGGAGGATTGTCTGTCTTGAACTTCGGGTGTTTTCTGGTGTAGGTGTTGAACACTGCCAGCCCTCCCTTTCTGTCCTTCAGTACCAGCATCCTGGGGGAAATTAACCCTAACCCCCTACTTTTACCAGAGGAGAATTACATAATATACTGGGGGGGGAGACTATAGTCATTAAACCACATTAATGGGGTAGGTTTAACCCTCCGACTAGTCATTTAACCCCAACATTATAAACGTGCGCCGCCTTTAGAAATTGCTTTGGTCACTGATTTTAACCCCGGCTCACTGTAAGACGGCCTGTGCAATGAAAAGATCGGCTTCTCCGCTGTAGCCAAAGGTCATGGCGAGTTCAACGAGCATGTTTCCAAACTCTTGAGGCTGTTCTGCGTACAGGAAATGCTCCCTTGCCTTGACATACTGCCTTTCTGTCAGAGAGAGAGAGAGGGGGGGGGGGATGTGACCGACACGAGGGAGTAGAAGAAAGAACAGACCTCTCCAGTAAGTGCTGGCTGCCATTTTGTGCAGCTTGGGGTGTCCGTATTTCCACTGCTCCTCATCTGCCACCATATTGCTCCACCTTCAATGAATACAGTGTGTGGTGTGGTGAAGTTCAGATCCAATAGACTCAACTTACTTTAGAGCTGCTCGCAGGAATGCTTCTCTGCCGTCCACTTCTGGAATTACCTGTAATACTCCTGGGGCAGCTGGTTCTGCTACACACGGGTGCACACACACACACACCACACACACACACACACACACACACACACACACACACACACACACACACACACACAGGCAGACAAGTTAGCAATGAGTGGGTGTTTGTACTGCACCTGTACATACCACAATTGGTGGAGTCCATAGCTCCACTTGACTCTGTCTCAGGAAGGCCACTTGACTCTGTCAAGGCAGTCCTTCCTGTGTAGCTACCAAACAGAATGCCAATCTTCTCTTGAGGAGAGAGAGGACAAGAGTTAGAGAGTTTGAGATAGGGGACTAGCTGGTGGTCTAACCTAGCAACTCATCTCTGACCGGTGTCTTCTTATCTTTTAGGTGTTGCACCAGCAGCATTCCCAGGTCACTACCACTGCTCAACTGTACAGTACCAAAATCCGATACACATAATGATGATCCCATAGTAATGATCTGCTCCTATACATACAGTAAACCCCATGTGTATATGCACACCACAGTCTTGCATCATACATTGATCTATTTGCCATGCTTAGTGATAAGGAAATGCACGCTAATCCACATGCCAGCAAGTGGCAAAATGGACACACAGCACATTCTAGTGGAATACCCCATGTTCCTGATAGGGGAAGGAAGGCAGGGAGTTAAAAATAGCACACAAGGGAGGGAAGAGGAGAAAGGGAAAAGTGGTTCTTAGAACAACAGACACAAGTGGAACTATTGCAAGGCGACTGGGGAATGTAAACAAGTGCCATTCTGAATGTTAACACCTCACACCTCCAATGTGTAAGTACAGTATGCATGTGAATGCAATTTGCAGATAGCTCTAGTCCCCCCCATTTTTGCCTGAATTTCCCTCATCTACACTACTCCATACAATACACACACACACACTACATCAGAAGCTGGAGAAGTGAATTTGCTCAGTGAGGTGTCCTTGATTTCCGTGTCCTCATCATTTACCCAATGCCCCGACACAAGTATCAGCTAGTCAAGGGAAGGGTGTGCCCTGAACTCTAATTTATCCAAGTACTAGCTAAGATCCTTAGTTTACCAGAACACTGCTTCTGTACCAAGTTATAAACAGGTATATATTCTTAGTAACGCCACTCTAGCCCATTCATGACAAGGTATATACAGTGTAAAGAACCAATAGATAAGTAAAGTAGGAAGGAAGGAGGGGGAATTTTATGCCCCGACACAAGTATCAGCTAGTCAAGGGAAGGGTGTGCCCTGAACTCTAATTTATCCAAGTACTAGCTAAGATCCTTAGTTTACCAGAACACTGCTTCTGTACCAAGTTATAAACAGGTATATATTCTTAGTAACGCCACTCTAGCCCATTCATGACAAGGTATATACAGTGTAAAGAACCAATAGATAAGTAAAGTAGGAAGGAAGGAGGGGGAATTTTGGGGGCTAACAAAACCATCACCATGGTATAATTATACACTGGCAATGCTGATAGACAGACTGCAAGTGAAAATGACATTAATTAAGAGGTCAGGGCTTTTCCCCACACACTAACACAGAACCATAGCTCTATACAGTTGGTGGTTAAAGACAAGAGGCCCACTTCCTTTCTGCTATTCCAGAACCTAATCTATCAAACTGCTTCTGGGAAGGGAAAGACCAACATTCGCATTACATCACGTCGTGGTTTTTCCCTCCATGTTGTTGTGATAAAATAATGACTATTGACTATGATGTAAGACACAGTGGGAATGACCCGCATGGATTTTATATATCAGCCATTTTCTGCTGGCAAGTCATTTTTGAACGACTTGGTAGCGCGTGCTCGCCTGGTGCGGGCACAGCCTACCTGTCCATGCTGTAGCAACAGAAGTGCTCCGTTGTAGACTAGCTCCAAAGCTTCGTTTTCCTTCCCCTGCGCCTTGTATCGCTGGAAGAGGACGCGGTAGGTCTGGTGGGCCTCGTAGTACTCCTTGTCTCGGATCTTCTGCTTCAGTTTCTCTTCCACTCTACCGCTCCGTCTCGAGGACACGGGCCTTCCAGCGGGCCGGGGGCCGCTCGCTGCTTTCTCTGCCATTTTCTGGGTTTCGAAATTACTTTGTGTCGGTTAATTAGAGAAAGAAAGGTGCATGACCTCTCACAACCCGCTCCCGTCGTCCTACACTACTGCGCACCGCTACCGAGAGCTGCAGCATCATCGACGTCGTCTCCCGAGAAGACTCTTCGATATGGCAACCCCAGGCGCGGGTCCGCCCAGCTACTCATTCTCCCAGCCGCCGAGCTACCGCTCCCACCAGCCGGGGGGCACTCCGACGCCCATCGGCTCCGCGACTTCCGAGCTGGGCGGTAGCGCCAGCTTCCAGGACATCGATCCGGACCGAATGGACATCCTGGTGAAAAACTTCCACGGTTCCATAGGCGTCCTGTACTCGGAGAAGAGCACGTACTACAAGCAGCTCGCGAGCAACATCAAGGGCCACTACCGAACAAGTCTCTACTTCACCGCGACAGAGATCATAAACTATGACGACCCCGGCTGGCTGGACGCGTCCGTTCGCCACACACACCTCATATTCGTGGGTATACCGCAGACCAAGAAGCGAGGGACGACGCGCAAGGGCAAGTCCACGAGCCTGGACGCAACAAGTCGGGAAGAGACGCTGATGTCGCGCGAGAACCGCAAGCTGTCGACGGTGGTGGTTGTCAACCCGACGCCGGGCCGCGGGAAGACAGATAGAAAGGGCCACTTTCTTGATCGGTTTGTGCATCTACCTCTCCAGCAGCCTGGTGACCTTCCACGTCTTGCACAGACCGCCCTTGCCATTTTTTCAGGTACAAATACTTTTTATTTAGTGCCTGCAACTGCCACTCCGTTACCAGGAGTTTAGTCTAACTACCTGTCTCTAGTATGACATGGTGCACTAGTGAGCTAATGCATACTCTTTCTCTGTAGTGTTGGCCAGGAAATGTATCATGACTCTTCCTAGACACAGCTGTATGTACATCAGCGTGTGGTGTGCCTTAGCCTGTGGCTAGCGAATTCCTCCCATGCCTTACTTTCCATTACTTTTCATTTCCTGTACATATACTCTTCAAAGCAAAACCAGAGCTTCTTATATATTAGACCTCCACCATCTTGTCTGTGGGTTGCCCATTGCTAGCAGTGTGCGAAACAGCTGAACTCTCAATTGTTTCTGAGTTTGTCAGTTAGGGGAAACCGAGGCTCGTCTCTTTTGTTTTCCAAAATAAGCTACCGTATTTTAGAAATGCGCAGTAAAACTAGCAGAGGGTGTATACACAGCTGGTTGCCTTGTTCATGAACTACATGTAAATAACAAACACACAGCAGCTAGCCTCACAGACTTGTGGCTACAAATTAGTCATGAGGTCATAGGAAGTAGGCTCAGTGGGTGGAATACCCTTTGCATTAACTTGCCCTCCCCCTCCCTCTCTCCTCTCCCCCTCTTCTCTCCCCCTTTCCTCCTCATTCTCCCCTCTCTCCCCCTCCCCTCTCACTTCTTCCTCCCCCTCTCCTCACCTCTATTACCTCTGTAATAGGTGCAGCTCCAGTTGCATCAGCCGATGACAACGTCTACTGGAGTGTAGAACCAAAGTTGCTTGAGGTCTGGAAAGACCAGTCACTTGGTCTCTCCATCATGACCAGAGAGGTACATATACACACATATCTTGAACTCTCGAATGATAGGCTTTAGCGAGCTGTGCTTGTCAGCCATGGGTTCTTAAGCCATTCAGCTATGTATATTATTGTATATACACAGATAAGCTAAAATGAAGTATGCAAAGTTTGCTGGCTTGTGGCCTAGTTAATTCTCTTGTGCTGTGTATTATGACTGTACTGTGTATTATAACTGTACTGTGTATGCATACATGTACATGTATGGGTGCATTAACACAGTATGGACAGAAGCTTTGTTGCTGACTTCTATACGTTTAGACTCATACACAGAGACTCTGGAATACACACTTTGATAATGTCATCAGTATTATGCTCTACTCTTCGATTAGTCTTGTAGTAACGTGCATATTGAAAATAACAAACTAATTTTTGTGGTAGTGCATTATAATATATATATCCCCCACTCCACCAGATGTCCCACGATTCGATGTTTTCGCGTATCGTGCTCATCAAGAGCTTCAATGAGGACTGTCTCCCCGAGCTACAGAACAAGCTGGGCAAATACACACACATCCAGTTCGTGAACGGCGTCTTCCTCGACGGCCTCCCCATCGATCGCGTCACGGAAATCTTTCGCACTCTCCCCCACCACCGCATCCAGCTACTCGTTCGCTACATCCACCCTCGCCAGCGACGGCTTCTTCAAGCTCTCCCGAATCGGTCCTCGACCTACTCTGCCACGAAGGCCGTGCAAGTCCGCAGGGGCTCCGACGCTCTTGAGGTAATCCCCATGCCCCTGTATATCCTGGGAGATAATTACTCCCTCCAGAAGGATTTGTTTTGTAGACTCAAAAACGAAGAGTCCCCTAGTTCCAGCATCGCCCTGCCGAGCCCCGGGGCACGCTCAGATAGTTCGACCACGCCCCTCATGTTCATGTCGCCAATGGCGGCACCCTCGAGGTCACTGAGTGGAGCTATGGGCGGAGGTGACCATGGGTACACGAGACAGAAGAGCGAGCCGGTTGCCATCTCTTCCAGTGACAACCTGAGCTCGTTAGATGTCGTCAAGAGAGGGGTCACCCAGATAAAGAAGAAGTCGGCTGGCAACATGTTTCTTCCGCCAGAGTTCATCGAAACGGACGAGTTCATCGAGCGAGCAGCTGTCCCGCAGAACCGGTTCAAAGTCGACTCGAACTTCCTACCCGATTTCGACCGAACAGACGAGGAAACCCTCAGCCCGAGTCTCCACCCGCCAACGGTGAAGAGATATGGTAGCACCCACCCTGACATCGGGTCTCCTCAGTACATCCTCCACGTCCTGCGTCAGTCTGTGGACCGTAACCTCGCCCACCTCTTCCTCAAACCAAACGGCATCTACCTGATCGCCATCGGGCTGGAAGACATCGTGGCCGACCCGCTAATCCAGTACGAGAACCTGTTTTTCTGGCTCCGGCTGATCCATTCGCACGTGAAACCTGCCGACATTCGACGCATCATCGTAGTGGGGATGTACACCAAGTCGGAACTGCAAGTGGAGGAAAGCAGGATCATCCAGTGTGTGCAGCACCTCAACACGGCCATTCGCGAGACGATGAGACAGAACTACAACCTCCCCGTGAAGGAGGGCGGGTACGTCTTCATCTGCAACCTCGACGCTCCAAACGATCTCCTGTACCTCTGCGCATGCATCCGGATGTGTGTCGAGGTGTTCATCGACCAGGCCTGGTACTTCCAGCGGGAGTTCTTCAACTCCGTTTTCATGCCGTTCGAGTCTTACAAGAACGTATGCTCAGACGTAATCCGACAGAGCAAGAACAAGGTGGTCCTGCGGAGGTCAAAGGTCGAGCGGCTCTACCAACAAAAGACGGAGATTCCCAGCAATTTCTGGAGCACGCTAAAAATTTACTCTTCCGTTCTCTTCACCCAAAAGGGCGGAGGTGAGCTAGACGAAGGTTATCGAAAGAAGCACGTGCGTGAGAGAGAGTAAAGTGAGCGTTGTTTTGGAAAGTGGTATATACTTACTCCGCTTTTCATCTGGGGTTTTGAAAGTTTTGAACACCCACACTACAGGTTCCTAGTATTTTGATAACAGTGCTTCGCAGAATTGTATATATATTCCTCCTTATATGGCCCAAGTATCAAAAGCAGTATTGCTAGCATTACATACATACATACATACTGTACATACCTGTATCCTACGTACTGTACATGTATATCCAACCAAAAGTTTTCCGTTTTGAGGGGAAACAGTTTATTTAGCCAGCTGTTATCACACCTGCATATACATACACCTCCCCACACACACACACACTCACTCACACTCTTTTCCACGCTCTCACATTCACATACCTTCTCCCCTCATCCATCATAATACAGAGTGTCTGGTGCGACCTTCGTTTGTGGTGAAGCTCCTCAACACGTGCACGCAGATGAACCACCACGAGATAGAGGTGTTTTCCGTCCAACATACCTCCCTCCAACAGTTCCCCATCATCAGGGCCCAGTTACTCAACCACCGCATGTCTGGCGAGATGCACGTCACGGAGCAGAGCCATCAGAACACCGTCATCGAATGGATGAAGACGCTCGAAGTCGTGTACAGCCTCGGGAAGTACGGGGAGAGGGAGATCTTCTTCATTCCTTACCTCGCGACACACTCGCTCGCCGACAGCGCCCTCTACAGTTGGAACGACGCAGTCGCTGAGGAGTTTAGAGATGCGAGCGTCGTTCTCTATGCGAAGCTGAGTATTCCGGCCACGCAGAAGTTCTTCTACCAGCTGATTGCCTCGCTGCTCACGGACATCCTCCAGAATCCCAGCATCTCCCGCTGCTTCATCAACCTCGGGTGTACCGAGGCAATCATCCCACTCAACAGGTTTGTACTCTGACGTGCATAATGTGCAGCATGGGACAAGAATTTTGCCAGATTGTAAGGAGTTAGGTTTTGGGCTTCAACTGTATTCTGAACCTTTTCACAAAAAGTTGCTATTGAGCAAAACAGAACTTTTTAGTGTAAATATAGCTTGTAGGTATACAATAATGTATAAGTAGTAGTGCTCCTCTGCATGTGTAAATACTCTTGTGTTTACACACATTTCACTTTTCGTTTCACTAATGCATGTGCTCTTTTCTCTCCTCACTCACTAATCTCCCTCCCCTCCCTCCCCACATTCCGTAGTAAGGGCAGTTCAGTTGCGTACCCTACCCTGCTCTGCTATCATCCCATCCAGAACATCATCGAGTTCAGGACTACGTGAGTATAATACTCCACCACCTCTTTATTTGCATCAGACTTATCCACACCATTTCTACCTAACCTTGTTGTTGACACACCATTATACCCTCTCTTTTTTTCCCCCTCTCTCTCTCTCCCTGCCTTCCTTCTTTAACTCCCCCTCTCTCCTTCCCTCCCCTTTTCCAACAGAACAAACAGGTCTCTTGCCTTCCTCTCCTCCATTGAAGAGAAGCTGAACGAAGTCTACACCAACTCCTCGTACAACACAGCACCCAATGCTTTCAGGAGCTCCATGACGTTCTACGTCCCTGCTGCCAAGTTCGAGCAGCATATCCGGGACAGTCCCATCTGGAAATTGGGCAACGTGGGGAGGAAGACGCCAACCGCAAACGGTGGGCTGGGTCTCCTTGATCGTGGCGGGAGCAGCGGTAGTATCCGTGTCGATGGTGGGAGTGGGGAGGGGAGTGGAGGTGAGGGGGAGAGCACGGTGAACGGAGAGGGAGAAGATGAGGACGACTTGTACGATGGACCGGAGAAGTTTCTTCTCCCGATCAAGTACCTCACTGACCCAGGGAACAGGGACAATGAGGAGCTGAGGGCGTGGGCATCTTCTGCTCCCGAGATGAAAGATGTGAGTCGAGTCCTTTGCTTTTCCTGTCGACCCTCTCTCCTCTCTCTCTGTGTTTGTGTGGGATGCACAAAGCATGAGTTGGGTGTCAAACCAAGACAAGTGCATATGAAATACCAACTTCACCCACGCATGCATGCACTCGTATAATAAATGGCTTATGGTCTGCACTTTCTGCAGTAACATGATCACCATTTTGGTTGTACTACGATTCTATTATGGCACTACAAAATGCACGGCGTTCTAGTGTGTATGTGTTTGTTGTTCTCTAGCTCTGCTCTCCCCACCACTTTCACTCTTTCTTCTCCACACAGCTGTCGTCGGATACGTTCCTCGAAGTTGCAAAGATCCTCAGTACCAACGAGTACTGGACGCGGGTCGGCTCCAAGCTGGATCTCATGACGTTCGACGACATCAACTACTTCAGATCAAACCCCGTCAAGGGAGGCAACGGTTCTGAGGTCCTGCAGCGATGGCAGGAAAGCAACCTCACCTACAGAGATCTCGTGAATGCACTCAAGGACGTCAACTTAAACCGAGCTGCGGACGTCATCGAAAAACATTACCAGAAACCTCGAACGACGCGGTAGCCGCCTACCTTCACTCCTCTCTCTTCTGCCTTCAAGATCTACAGCTCGTAACTTAGCTGGCGGATGCCTCTACCAGTATAATATACTCTATTTCTTAGACACTCTCGCTCTCTAACTCTGACTAACTCTGACTAACTCGCTGCTCTTTTGCTGGCATGCATTGGCAATGTTTCAAATTCTTCCCAAATCAAACTACTTGTGAGTTGACTGCGTGTTTGTGTGTGTGCAGTTACTCTTGTCTTTTGTACGTCTGTACATTCACTTTCTCAGGCTAAATACACTACACATGTCCGTTAATTTGCTCTTTGCATTAGTCTATAATTTGCACAAATGTTTTATTTTGGTATATATATATTTTATAATATATATTTTCACTTCAATAATTGCACATTATTGATATCACTTTGTTACACGTCTGCAGGTCACGTCACGTGTTCGTTTGCATGAAGGTGGGTATGTTTCAAAGAGCCCGGTGAAAGGGCTATATATATACTATACACTTACCATTGATCATTGGACTATACATGTGTATTGTGTGTAAACATAGGGTTTAACCCCCTTTAGACCCAGTTAACGTCAGAGGGCAGTGCAAGTGGGATGGTAGAATGAGTGCCGCGCATGCGCGTACATGGTGACCGCAAGCACACGTGGCAGGATCTGCGCCTTCACAGCCGCAAGGAGCCGCTTTCTTCTTCTTTTTTTTAATTTCTTTCTTTCTTTCCCTCTGTCAGGCTTCACGGCCTGGCGTGATCAGTGTAGGGGCATGTTCATGGAGGAGGGTGTTCCCCTCTTCCATGGTTCCTCCCCAAAACACGTCTTATGACGTAAGGGGAGGGGCTACCCTGCCCCTCACTTTCGCCAAACCACACAAGTCTATGGCTTGTGGCATGCTGTGGGAGCATCAGGGAGCCCGGTAAGACGTTAACCATGTACTGTCCTTGGAAGTGACTGCCAATGCAGTGTCACACAGAGTTAGTGAGTTGGGGGTTTGCCTTTCTAGTGGTTGTGATATGAACAGTAGAGCTTAGAGCCCTGAGCTGCCCTTTTACCTCAGTACAAAGAACACGGACGTCATGTTGTAGGTCTATAGTCAATTTCTTCTAAGCCCTGAATTTCGTGGAATTGAAAATGTGCAAAGTCTACTTTTCTCATCACGTTTTACAATATTCCCAAGACGACGTTAATTGTATTAACATAATCTCCGGGTGTAATGTGGTTACTACAGTCATGCATAATTGAGCTGGTGTAATGATAGGAGGATGAATGATGGTGTATCACTAGAGCTGCGGTTTAGTGTTGGTGGTTGTGGGAATTGGTCGAATTAGCTGATAATGGCAGGGAGTCTGTCCGTAATCGAAAATTGATGGGTCTAGTTTCTTTGTATCCATTGCCATGGCGACTGTCAGACAGTCCATCTAACCCCGTCCCTTCTTCTTGTTCCGTTATTGTCTCGTGTACGGGGTCACCGAGGTCTAGTTGCAGGTTGTCTCTGGACGAACTGGAGATCATCAAGACCGGCACGGACCTCCGCGGGGTTGACGTTTGCGCCGGGGAATCAAACTCGTAAACTGACGCTGAAAAGTGTGGCGATTTCCAGGACGGTGTGATGGTGCACACTCGGTGCTGCCCTGACTGTGATTCCAATCTCATCTCCTTCATCTTCTGCACTGGGGCGTGGAGGATGTGTATTTCTTCGTTGAGTTTCTCCACACGTTCCTTTAACGCCTGGTCCTCCTCTGAGAATTTCGCCTGCAAAATAAACCAATCAATCGTGTGCAAATTTGTTGAATAAACACTCAATATATAGCCGTTGAAAGTCGATCACGTATTTCCTTTGTACTTTGTACGTTTGGTTTTAAGGTCAGTTAAGTTTCCACAGACACAGGAGTGTGCAGCCAACTCTCCTCGCCTTTGCTAGGGGACTGGTATAGGAACACAGAGGGAGCTATATAGATGGGCAATGTGATGGTGTCAATTGCAGAGCATTAGGGAGTCTTGGACACCTGCTAGTCCTGGTGGCCAACAGACAACTGGGATTCATTACCGCTGATGTCATTATACAGAACCAGACACTAGCTCATGGGGGTATTGTGTGTCCCTCTGTGTGCATTAGTTATGTGACTGTTGGGTCAGTGAATACACTGGTAGGAGACCAGATATTGCAACTCCCACGGTACCAAATATTCCCGATTGGTCTTTTGGGGGTTGATCTACAATGGGCTTTGTTTGTATAACATCAAAGTTGGGGGATGCCATGTGTTTTCTGGTGAAGCATTAGTGCACTGATGCTTACCAGTTGTTCCTTGATCCGCGTGAATGCACTGTCAATTTGTTCGGTAGTCGCTTCATCAGCATCAGAAGTGGACGCTCGTCTGTTTTCGCTCCCATTCGATCCACCAGCCTGTTTCCCCTTCCAGCTATTCATGCCGGCGACCACCCGGGATCGACCGAGATGCCGCAGCGATTTGCGCGTTTTAGCGGCGGCGGAGACGCTAACTTCGGACGTCTGGCTGCGTGGCCGGCCCGAGTAGGACCTCTGGAGCTGCGTAGGTGCCGCGGTGTCGGTCGGTGACGGGTAGGAGGCGCTGAGGAAGTCGAACGGCACTTCAGTCAGCTCGCGCTTGTGTCCGCGGACGGTGAGTCGCGGCAGCTCGGGGCTAAGGTGAACCACGGCCATCTCTGATGTTGGATGATTCTGACACTGGATATGGACAGTTCCGCTGTTGCGTTTTAAATGGAGCACGACCGCCGCTGAGGATTCCGCTTCCTAGTCTGGTCTGCTGGAGAGTTGCCCGAGGCCGACGCTGCGCCGGCCAGATCAGATGAGACCGATTTATCGTGGTCGATTGCGCATGCGCTGAGCAGCTGTTTGGCGCGTGCTGAAACAACGCCGCCTTGTCTGCCCAGGCATATCGGATAACTCCTTGAAATTATAGTACAAATGATACAAATTGCTGACTGACTGAGAGTGTAAAAATATCGGTGAACACAAACATAACAAAAAAGAAAATTACACAGAAGTGTAGGACACACACAGTCACCATCTGTCCAGTTCAATACTGGACTGGTGGACTCTCTGTCTTCTCAGGAGAAACGATTTCTGAACGTCCTGTAGTTTCTCACAATCGAGGCTGTCGAGACTGCTCCCCAGATGACAGTCCATTCCGTTTGGGAGGGAGCACCATCTCTCGTATGGGAGATCAAGGAAGTTAGGCACTGCCAGACTGTTCATGGTGGTTGGGTAACTGTTAGAGACTCTTATACAGCTGTGCCTCCTCCGAGCCTTTCTCGAAGGAGCACTCCTGATGAAGTATTCTTCGCCTATGAGCCCAGCCAGAGGCTCCTCCGTTACGAGACAGTCGTCTTGTCTGAACTGGACGGCTTTCTGCGGACCGTGTCTCTGACGCTGTTGCTGCTGCTGGATGCTGGCGAGGTACGAGACCACGTTCTTTCGCGACAGACTGTCCCTATCAGAGTTTGACGGCCGGGTCTCGATCATGTGCTGCGTGCCCCGTCGCTTGGTCATGGCCCCGCCGGCGCGCGGTCTGGTCCTACCGGCGTCGTGCCTGAAGGGACAACCAGGTTTGCGACAGGGGCAGGCTATTTCTGCCACGTCCTCTCGCAGAATGCTCAACTCCTGCAAAAGCTGCGTCGTTTCTTCCCAGAATTCTCTGGACTCTGTCGACGACTTTCTGCTAAAAGTCAAGCTCTCCTCGGAGGATACCTGCACAATGAGCGAGATATTTCACCCTGAACTCTTTATAAGTGTACTTAGCAATGCTAGATCTGCAGCGCAGAGATTACCGAGCAGCTAAAGACTGTTAGGCTAGAGTACGACTTACTTGAATCTCTGGGACAGGGGCGCTGCTGGAGATGTTGGGTAGGCTCTGCGTGCCGCCCGTGCGGCCGACTTGCCGCAGGCTCGTCGCCATTACGTCTCGGAACATACTGCAGTGGGCTTCGCTTTCTGTATCTATTCAGGTAACTAGCTATGTTTATGCGCCAATGATTGGGAGAGCTGCAACAGCGAATCGGTTTTATATCGCGCGCGTGCGCCGTCATGCATGACCCGCCTACATGATTTTGCTATAATTACAGCTTGCGTCATCCATGCAACAGATGTGCTCCAAAATTCTTTCAGAAACATTTCTCCAGGAATGGGTACACATAGTCGAGGCCAACTGCTAGATGTAGTAAATGCTCCACATAGTTCCCAAGGCAGATCTCCATAGTACCACTGCAGCAGCAACAGAAAGAGGTAATTTATGAGAGGCTATTGTATTATACTGGTTGGCCAAAGATCGTTGTTACACTTATTAGTGAACTCTTTGATATTAAAGAATGGCTCTTTTGATCAATTAAATATTATGAAAAGTGGTAACTTATACACTGATAGCTAATCTTTATACCCCAAATTATCTGAGCTCTTACTACATTTACCTTGTGCTGATGAGGGCGAATAAAGGTTGGATAAGGTGAACTCCACGTTCGAGGATTGGTGACAGTCGTAATGTCTAGCAATGCAGAGAAATTTAATTGTAATTATCAACGCATTCTTTGACATCAATGACAAATGCTGAACGTCACACACATGCATGATTGAACAGACAGACACACACACACACACACACACACTCACTAACCTCCTCGTGCCATTTGACTTTATTACAGAGAAATTCACTCATGTCCAGTGCCTTCTCGCTAACTTTGAAATTTCCCGACAAAACTACCGGCCTATATCTCTGCAAGTGAAACATAATATACTTACCAATGGGAGTTATGTAGAACAGTTGCTAGGTGGCGAAATTATCTACCCATATACCCATACTAAGATTCCTTTGATGTATGAATCTAATCATTGAGGGGGTGTCAAATTTGCCAGAGTCTTTGCCCTAATTCAGACACATGATAGGGTGCCTGCGAAGGAAGTGGCACACGTAATGCTAATGCTTTCACAAAATTCCCATTCGTCCTTGGCGTGTTGTTATGGGGTCTGATTCTTGATGCAAGTTGACAGCGTGGGCTAGACAGGTGTTTTTCACGACTGAGTGAGCATTACGTGTGTCACTTCCTTCACAGGCACCCTGTCATTTGCCTGAATTAGGGCAAAGACTCTGCCAAATTTGAGTTCATTAGACACCATTGAACTGACTCCCCCCTCAATAATACACGAATCTTAGTATGGGTATATGGGTAGATAAACACCTGTCTGACAACTTGCATCAAGAATCAGAACTATGCTGCTTAACAATACGTCAAGGATGAATGGGAATGGTGTGAAAGCATTCCTGGGGCCTTGGAGACAGACGTAACCACAAGAACCTTTGCTTAGCTGGTAGCAACTAGTGTCTTACATGGTGTAGTAGGTCCGATAGAAAACTGTTGTTGACGTCGAGTGACTGCAGCAACTGGGTGTATGTGTATTTGAAAGAGGAAAGAGAAGTAATAAATATGGAAGGAAAAGGGAGAAAAGCATCGTGTGTGCTGTGTCTGTGTGTGTCCGTGTTATGGTGATGCTTGTTCCTGTCACAACAGTTGACTAGATTTTGATAGCAGGAAAAGGTCGGCATTCAGATTAGTTAGATCAACATTGAAAAATAGGTAGTGGCCGACTATCATAATATTATACATCTCAGGGACAGAGAACTTTCTGTGCCAGCGCTTGGGCTTACATTAATGTACATACTTGACTGTGACCTTCCCCAAGATTATAAACTTCAGCAGAAAGAAGGTGAGGGATGGGAGCAAACACACACCACGTCTCAGCATTATAGCAACAAAACACACAGCCCACCATTTCAATGTAGATCTTGGCAGCCTTGCCTTTCAGTTCCCAGGTCCACTCCTCTTCAAAGGGAACGGGCTGCTCATATCTGGACCAGGAATAGCATAGGGAATCAGATACACACTACCAGAATACTGTGAATTGGCTAAGAGAGACTTGGGAAATGATAGTGATTTTTTTTACTATTGGATGTTTGCAGTAATGACATGCTCTCATACAAGTAGTAGAAACGTTTGGTGATTGATATTGAATATTATCTGACTGTGGCTAGTGTTAGCTGAAAGAATCTCATACATGCGGTTGATGAGTGCGTATTCCGGTGCATTGCTCCACACGTTGACCGACACGCTCTCCTCCAGTGTTTCCACGTGATGGAACCAGAATGGAGGAACCACCAGCATGTCTCCTGCCCCCACCACTGCCACCATGGATCCTGTCCTTTGGTGGGGAAAAGGCAACAGAACATTGTAGGTGACGTGATAATGTCTGACGAGATATATACTACTTGCTTTGGGTATCTTGTGTCCCCACACAGTCAACTCTGGATTAAGTTCTAGGGCGGATATTGGTGCAACATAAACCTCGTGTAAAGTTCCCAATTTAGATTGTGTCACACCCATACATGCCTGGCCAATAGCTTTCTCTCCAGTAGGTATCGATATCAATGATCTAAAAGGTAAAGCTATATAGCTCACTGATAATTGGTCGTTTATAATTGCTTTGTGTATACAACCGTATCAAAAGATAGCCCAGGTGAAATTTGTTAAGTGTCGATAATCCTAGCTCCCTTGTGTAAACTCAAATATCACATAATACACGGAAAAAAGGGATGTGTACGTTCATGTGACAAACATACCAAGAAAATTCCGGGAAAATGGATAGGTTAGGAGCATGTATATCAACCTGGCTGTGTCCATAGTGCTGTAAAATGGAGAATGGAGGAATTTTTGTGTGCTCTCTCCATTAGTCTGGGTATAATTATACACTTATGGACAGAAGTAAAGGTGGCAGTGGTAACGATTGAATTGGCAACACCACAAGGCCTTGAAATACCGAATTTTTTTACAGTTCTGTATAAAAAAATTTGATGCAGTTGTGTATAAGGTTTCATGCCAATAAAACTGCGGTATATATAATGTTCTCAGACTGATTGTAGGTACTGGATGGAGGCAGGGGTAGAGATAGAGCTGGGAGTCAGGTGGAAATAAGGTGAAACGCTTTCTCCCCCGAAGCTGCACAAAGAAGTTGAACGTGCAGTCGTAGTGTGTGTGGGTCACGATTCCTGCCCGTCCAATCCACAGATTGACCTGCGCAGAATAAAGATATTTGATCTTTTAGCTGTTGAGGGCGAAAATCCCAAGAGACCCAGAAATTATGTGATATCCTCTGGTATATCCCTTAATTACTGACTTTCAGAACACAAAGGAAGTGTGCCACTGAGACAGCACATGCTCAGAATCATTGCCCTGTGCAGTTATGCCGGGCATCAGACTGTGAACAATGGAGAGCATTCTAGTCAGAATTAAGTCTCTTTGTGAAGACTTCCTCTCAGGGCAGCTACAATTTGAAAGTGAGCTACTCGAGTAGCCTCCAGACAAATTTCGCTGCCCTGTCCACTCATTCAATGGTGGTAGACTTTCACCATGATGATATGTTGGTATGTCCTATTTTTCAACACACGACGCCACAATATTGTCAGATTGTTGCCCTCAGACTATTGCTCGAATAAGATAGATTATCCTCCCACTACTATACCTACTTCCTCACTCCTCATTCGCCTACTTCGCACAGTTCGCACAGTGCGCTAAGAATTCTATCTTTCACTTTCACCTCAACCAAAAGTCAAACCAACCACTCTCTCTCTCTTGCTGGTAAAGTATATATACCTGGACATCATCTGGACTCAAAATAAGATCCCCCAGAGGCTGAATATGATCCATGACATCGGGGAAATCCGATCTGTATAACAAAAAGAACAAATGTGAAAACTACACACAACACCATCCAATAGAGTTATCGTGTGTGCGTGAGATAATGATTTTATATCAATTGATAAATGCACAAATTCCTAGAACCCCTGATTGCATGGACACTGACAAGTTAATAACTTGCATTCTAATGTGTGAGGTCAGGCACCACGTTTACCAAAGTTAAAAGGTACGAGTCACATTAGTTCAAATTCATAGCGGTGATTCCCCAATCTGAAAGATTCCCCTATAATTATTAGATGCTACCTGAGAGTGGTTATGTCTTGACTGAAGTATAGAAATGGGCCTGTCGACGGATCCTTTACCTCACTATCCTGTCATCAACAATAAAATAATGTCACTAATAAACCTCTTTGAGCCTACCCAGCCAAGAACTTGAGGAAGAGTAGCGTTAATTTTCACATTGAAATCCTCCCATTTCTCATTGACAAGAGGTTGCAGCGGCTTGTTGTCGTGGAAAGTCACGAAATTTCTCTTCTTCTCCTGTGCAAAGGGAGTTGAATTGTTCGGAGACCGATACTTTGGAAAATGTCTAAGCTTACCTGTCTGTGTGCCATCACAAATGGTAGTCTCTGAGCTAGGAAAGATGTGGTGAATGAGCTCATAGCTTTCCATCTGAGGACAAAATAATGAGCTATTTAGTATTGCAAGAATATTTGTGATTGTTAACTTGTTTGCCACAGTGCCAGTGAGAATGAGTGGCATCCGCTGTTCTGCAACTTCTCTGAAAGGAGCCGGCAACTCAGAGATAAGTTTCTCATTAAAAAAAATTTTTAACGCTCACCTGTAACTTCTACCGGAGAGTTTTTCCCGTTGCACGACGATAACTGCGGGTGATGAGCGCATGCGCATTGAAATGAGGGGCAGGGGCGCGGGCGGGGTCCGATAGCGGGGTCCGGTGTGTGGGTCTGTTTACGTCGTCCTAACACTAACCTTGATTCTTTCCACTGTGATGTTCCACTGTCGTCCTCTGGTAGATGTAGGCAGCCCCGGCCGCTACTAGAAGGAACACCAGGGGCCATCTCCAGCCAGTCAACAGCGGCGATGCGGGCGCCGAATCACCCGCACGCTCCTTCCGCCTTCCCATTGCGCGGAGAGCTGTAATGCAGGGCGCGTGACCCGAGCTCCTGAGGGTATTCACTGCTATTCTAGAGGAAATTCGAGAACAGCTGAGCATTTTGCTTCAGTCCAGCACCTATATCTCTGTGGCAAAAAGACCCATCGCGATGAGCGGCAGTGGCTCTGGATTTACGAACATCACCACCTCCTCGTTCTCCGACTCCAGTCGCGGGATTGTAGTGATCCCCACGGACCAGGACAACTTGGCTCTGGCAGCCATCATAACTGTGGCTCTCCAGTTGGCCGTCTATCTGGTGGCTTGCTCGTGCAAATTCGACTACATCACCGACTTTGCCGGCGGAACGAACTTTGTCATTTTGGCAGTGGTCTCATTTGGCCTCAGCGATGTAAGACCTTCTAATACTGTATAATTATACACTTTTCTCTCTTTCTCTCTTTGCAGTATAATGCCAGACAGATCATCATTACGGTGCTGGTCATTCTGTACGGAGTAAGGCTGGCAGGTTACCTCTTGCTGCGCATCCTCAAGACGGGGAAAGACCAACGCTTCGATGGCATTCGAGAAAACCCGCTCAAATTCCTCGTTTTCTTCATCTTGCAGATATTCTGGGTGTACATTGTGAGCCTAACGGTTCTCTTCGTCAATTCTCCGTCAGCCCCTCCGGTTGATATTGGACCGTCGGACATTGTGGGTGCCGTTCTGTTTCTCTTTGGTCTTGTTTACGAGGCAGTCGCCGACCAACACAAGTACATGTTTCGTAACAACCCTAATAACAGGGGCAAGTTCATCAAGAGTGGGCTGTGGGCGCTGTCTCGCCACCCAAACTACTTTGGGGAGATCTGCGTGTGGTGGGGTGCCTTTATCCTCAGTGCCATCATTTTACGAGACGCTCGCTGGGTTGCAGTAACCAGCCCTCTATTCATCACCTCTCTCCTCGTCTTTGGCTCTGGCATGCCCACTACTGAACGTAGCTCACACAGGAAGTATGGAAGGTAACCATGAAATCACCAAGTTTTGCAGTAGTACAGTAGCTCTGTATATAGCTAAAGAACACCCCATACTAAAGTGAAAGGTGGCCCTTTTTCATAGATGTTGTGGTATAGTTGAACTATTGTCTTCTGATCTCTTTCCAGTGATCCAGACTACCAGAAATATCTCCAGTCTGTCCCTCCACTGATACCATGGATCCCTCCCCTCTATCACCTCAGCCCCTACCCTCTCAAACTCCTCTTCTGTTGTGAGTTTCCCTTCTACCAACCCCCAGAGAAAGAGAAGGGAGGGGAAGATGGTGTGGTCGATCAGCAGCCTACTAAACAAGCACCCGACGAGACCACTCCCATTACATCCCTTCATAAACAATTAGCTCAATCAAATTTTTGTTTTGGCGAGCGGGGGTGAGCCAACCTAGTCATTTTGTTCAAGCAGATTTCTAGTACACACAATTCTAGTGCTTTATACAATCATGTTCTCGTCTATCGTCTTCTCCGTCCCTGAGTTACTCGGCGGGCCTGGGTTGTATCTGCTGTTTCTGAGTCATGGCCAGGAAATCCGTGTGCTCCTGATACGGCGGCCTAGTCAGCTTCATGTCCGTCCAGAGGTCAGGGGTCAGGTAGGTATAGGTGTTGGTGATGGCAGCAAAAGTGGCTTTAGCTGCATTGAGGGGGTAAATAATGAATATATGGGACTACTATACTAGTACGAAGCCTGAATGTGCTATACCTGTGTAGCTAAGAACTTTGCTATTATGAAGAGTATATGACTCGCGTCTCTAGCCTGTTAGAAATTCAACCTCCCTGACAGAAGGGAACTAACCGAAGTTTCCGAGAGTGGCAGTCTGTCCGCGGGCACTGGTGTAGCAGTCCTGGACTCCAGCCATCTGCAGGAGCTTCTTGGGGACTGATGCAGCAACGATCCCCGTTCCACGCGGAGCAGGGATGAGACGCACCAACACACTACCACACTTCCCTGTCACCTGCAAACACACACACACAAACATACGAAAGGAAAATGAGAGAACTCTCTTTACAAAGTAGTAGCTGTGAATATACTAGCCTTGCAGGGTACAGTGTGTGTGTCTCCAATCTTGTTCCCCCAGTATCCCTGGCGAACAGGGATTATGGAGAGCTTGGCGAGAGTGATAGCTCCACGGATGGCTGTCGCAACCTCCTTGGAACACTTCACCCCCAGCCCCACGTGCCCACTGTAGTCGCCCATGGCCACAAACGCCTTGAAACGCGTCCTCTGCCCGGCTCGCGTCTGTTTCTGGACAGGCATGATCTTGAGCACCTCGTCCTTCAGTGCCGGACCAATGAAGTGGTCGATGATCTCTGCCTCTTTGATGGGCAGCGAGAAGAGGTAGATGTCTTCCAGCTTCTTGATCTTGTTGTCCTTTACCAGTCGACCCAACTTTGTCACAGGAATCCACTGAGTCAAGAGCAACTCAGTAGCGATACTGAACATGTAGAGGATCTATTACTCACCTCTTTCTCCTCCGGTTTCCCTCTTCCCCTGCCCCTCCCGCGACCTCTACGACCCCCGCGGCCGCCTCCCCTGCCAAACCCTCCGCGCCCTCCTCGTCCACCACCGGCTGATCCACGGTCTGCCATTTGCTGAAAACGGGACAAACTTTAGCAACCTCGGCAAGCCAGACCCCACGACTAAACTTCCCCAAACAAATTAATGCACAATCAAAATAGGGCCTTTTGCTAGCATTTACAATGATATTGGTTCAGTTGGAGAGAAAGAAGAGAGGATTAGAGAGGACAAACTTACGTGATGATCTTTCAACGCAAGCTGAACTACACGTGATTGTAGAAGGTAGACCTTCGCGCATGCGTAGTTATTCCCTTCCCAACCGCCCCGGCCCCTCCCCCTAGCAACTAAAAATGGCGCCGATAAACAGAGCAAAAGTGAAGAGGTGAACAGCAACTCTGCTCCCGTTGTAGATCCCGAAACCTAACTGCTACTGCAGCCACTAGGAGAACCCATTCTATAGATACAGCTAGGTGAGTTTCATCGCTGCAAAACATATAAAGATTTCTTGGCAGCTGCATGATTACTGGGTAAAGAGGCGGACGTCTCTGTTACCCGCTATAATAGTGTTTTCATCGTTCATTTTTTCAGTCAACTCCCCAGCGATATTTAGCAGCGATGGAAATAGTTCACGTATACACGAAGAAGCGGTCTGAATTCGGCCGTCAACCGCTGTTCACGGACCGTGCGGCGGAACTAAACGTGGAGATTGCACCGGACGACAGCCTCAGACAGGACTTCATCGACAAGAACCCGGTCGATATGGCCATCCAGTACGCTCCGGACGTGTCAGAACACGAGGTCTGTACGCAGCAGTCTCCAAACCCCTCATGTATCAGCTGTGATGACACAAACGCTCTTTCTTTGTTGCAGGCAAACACTGAGCGGTTTGAGAGCGAAAGTCGAGGAATGAACCACACTGAGGGAGGCTGGCCAAAGGACATCAACCCTGCAGAAGTAGAACAGACCATTCGCTTCAGGAAGAAAGTGGAGAAGGACGAAAACTACATCAACGTTGTCCAGAGACTTGGAGACGTGAGCTCCGTATTTCGTGTGTGCACTGCATAATTTCCCACTCCTTCTGCCTTGTCATGTTAGAAAATGGAGCTATACTTGAGGCAGAACAATGCAATTGATATATACGAAAACTATTTCTCGGGAAACACTTTCTCCTCCATTGACTCTGATCCTCCATCAGCAAAGACCATAAGCATCTTTAGGTACATACATACATACCCCTCATTGGACTGATAGGCTCACTCTATATGTATGTTACAGAGACCCCGAGGGGCTGAAGAGGACAGTGTCACACATATCCTGGTACCCAGACGGAGCACACAGACTGGCGGCCGCCTACTGCTCTCTTGAGTTCCAGAACTCTCCACACGGAATGTCACTAGACTCTTACATTTGGGAACTCGGTACACAGACGGCCACACACACACTTTAATGACGGAAATATCCCACACGTATGCAAGTGGAAGAGAAAAATTAGAAGATCCTTTTTGTAACAATAAAAGTTCTAGAAACCACAACACTGCTCTTAGACCGAACACTTGTGTGCTGCAGTGTCATCCCCCTATACCAAGTACCGTACTTTGTGTGATGTTATAATGATAAGGCACATCTCTTCTCAGAGAACCCGAACAAGCCTGAGCAAGTTCTGAAGCCGGCCTCTCCTCTCCTGTGTCTGGAGTACAATCCCAAGGACCCCCACCTCCTGGTCGGAGGATGCTACAATGGACAACTGGCCCTCTTTGACACGAGGAAAGGCTCACAGAGCCTGGAGGTCACTCCCATTGAGATCAGCCACAAGGAGCCCGTCCATAAGATCATCTTCCCTTCCTCCAAGACAGGTCTCTACAACACTCTGCTTCTTACTCTGATTCACTATCCCAGACTTTTCAGTTTGTTGGGGCATGCTTCTAAAAATGCTTGTAACACACTCTCATTTTTTCTTGCTCTCTTGCTCACAGGATCTGACGTGTTCTCGACCTCCACGGATGGCCAGGTACTGTGGTGGGACATCAGGAAGCTGGTGGAGCCGGTCGAGACCCTTCCCCTCGTCTTCCCTGGATACAAACCTGACTTCACCCTCGGGGGAATCGTCGTCGAGTATGAGTCGACTATGGTGAGAGTTTACGTAGAGGGAAAAGGACCCTCTGATTAAAGGAAAACCCTCTCAGTTGTCTCTGCCCCATACTAATAATATGAGACACTCTGAATATTCAATATCTCCCTTATTCAGGGGTTTCCTAGCTCTTAATCATAGGGGTTCCCCCATCAATTACCCACGTATGTATAACACAGTCTTTTTGCTCTCTCTAGCCGACAAAGTTCATGGTGGGCACAGAGCAAGGTGTGATCCTCTGCTGCAACAGAAAGGCAAAGACACCACAGGAAAAGATCACCAATGCCTTTATTGGACACCACGGACCCATCTACGCCCTCCAGGTACGTGTGTACAGATATACTCTCTGTGAGACACCGTCTCTTGTGCCATTAACAGAGGAACCCGTTCTACCCAAAACATTTCCTCTCTATTGGAGACTGGACAGCAAGATTGTGGTCAGAGGATGCTAAAGAATCTCCTATCATGTGGACAAAGTAAGTCCCTCGACTACAGTGGCATTCTAGGTCGCAAAATGAAGGAAAATGATAGAAAAAACAAACGGCTGCTTGAAAAAAGAGCTACTATGCGGGAAATGATAGAAAAGTAAATGGCTGCTTGAAAAAAGAGCTCCCATGCGGGGAATCGAACCCCGGCCACGGCGGTGAGAGCGCCGGATCCTAACCACTAGACCACATGGGACTGACACTTCCATGTGGCACACAATACACTGCTCAGGTCTTCTCAATACAGTGTGAGAATTCTTAGCACCTCGGAAACCAACTACCCCATTTACACATTACATGCAGGATGCTTTTAGCATGCGATCTAGAAATACGTGCGTAAAGCACTAAACAGAGTATAATACGGTGTTCTGTGTCTGATGGTAGGTGTGGCTTTTTTCCTGTCTTCAGGTATGATGAGTCATCATTGACTGATGGTTGCTGGAGTCCCACCAGACCTGGTGTGTTCTTCACCTCATCAACCTCTGGAACTATGGACGTGTGGGACCTGGTCTTCAAACAGAGCAGCCCCACTCTCACCGTACAGGTATACCAAATACCTTCTCATGCATACATTATTATTGGGACACATCAAGTAGATCTCTGATCTTACACAATGAACTTGGTGTTGCTAAATCAATGTGATTTCCAAGAAAATGGGTTCTTAGATGGTTTTACTGCCTTCTTATGACAATTCTATAATATAGGTGTTAGCTGTTCTGTATAGGTAGATGATGGTTCTTTCCCAATTTTACGGAGTTCTCTGATACACTGACACCATACACTGACAGGTGAGCGACGAGTCGCTGCATTCAGTGAGGTGTCACGGAGGAGGTAAGATGGTGGCGTGCGGCTCTCGCTCAGGGGACCTCTCTCTCCTGGAACTGTCTGACTCCCTCTCCATCATACAACCCAACGAGAAACCAAACATTACTGCCGTGAGTAAACAACAACAACAACAACAACAACATCTAGTCTAACCATAAACTTCTTCCATAAGCTTTCTGTTGTTCACGTGTTCCTGCAGTTGCTTTCTGACTGTAAAGTGTGTTTTTCTTAGGTGTTTGAGAGGGAGACAAGGAGAGAGAAGATTCTAGAAGGGCGACGGAGAGAGATGAAGCTCAAACAGAAGCAGGCAGCCAAGGGAGGAGAGGGAGGAGGAGGAGGAGGAGGAGGGGAGGGGGAAGGGGAAGGAGAAGAGGATCTCGTGAAGAGAGCAGAGGATGACTTCTGGGCAGCCATTGCACAGGTATAATACACACTCATATCCCTGTGTGCATCAGCATGAATGAGGACGTACTATCATTTCAGGAGCAAAAAGATATAGAAGCAAAGGAGAAGAAGAGACAAGAAGCCATGCAACCGAAGCACCAGCCCACGCCAATACCCGAGGAGGGAGGGGACGAGAGAAGAGTAAGTTAACCATTTAGCCCTCGCGATCTCTTGCCGTGTAATCCCTCTTTCCTCGTCCTCCGCAGGAATCACTAACTGACACCATGTCATAGGTTTTCTCTGTTCAAAACTTCATCTACCCCCGTCGTCACTCTCTCTGCCTGCCTTTTACTAGTCTGTCTGTTTGTGTCTGTGTATATACTTACCACAATCTATAACTAACACTTGTCCCATGTATTATGATGTGTTTTCACTTGTCGCGTGCCAATAATTAGAGATACATTTGTCCTACAGTTTTGCAATAAATAGTGAGTTCTATGCTACTACGTATGGGTATGTTAGTATTTTGTGTGTTGTCACCAGAGAAGTGCGGATACATCGTCGTCATAAACTACATTTGGCAGCTTATCTTCTCCCTCGCTGTGTCCCGAGCGGCTCCAGGACGGAGCTCTCTTCAGGAGAGCCTTCGAAATCTGTCCCGTGGGCTTCCGGTAGCGAGAATCCTCACCTTCCTCTTTCTCTTCGAAGTCTGGTTCCTTCCATCCTTCTCTCACCTCCCCTCCTGTTCCTCTATCGATCACTTGAGGTTGAATTTCTCCCCGGGTGCGGTAGGTGAGCAGTGGAGATGCCTGCGTCCCATCTCCCCTCTCCCTTCTCCTCTCTCGTCGCCCTTTCTTCCCTTCCTTCTTCTGTTTCTTCTTACTTTTGCTGTCCACCCTGTCACGTGCTGTCGAGGACACATTGTGTGCTGGCCCTTTGCGACCAGTGGCAAAGCTATCAGTTCTCGCCTGCTCTTTGGGAGGTGCATTGGGAGAAGTCAGTGGCTCTGGAATCGGCTCAAAGTCGTCAATCGATGTGCAGAGGCTCTCATTGGGGTTGTCGACGTCTGGAGGAAGATCGTCGTCCTCCATTCCAGGTTGACTGAAGTCTATCGGTGGGTCGAGGATAAAGTCCTCATCCCCCCACTCTTGTCCATCTTCCAGGTCCCACTCTCCCCCTCCTCTGTTCTCAGTTGGTTCTTTCACCTCTTCCTCTGTTCCTTTCACCTCTTCCTCTGTTCCTTTCACATCTTCCTCTTCTACCTCTCCCTCTGCCGCTCGATTGACAAACAGAACTCCCTCTTCTACGTCTCTCTCCTCCCGAAATTCGGCTCCCATCTCTTCCTCAGTTGCCCCTGTAATCCCACCCTCGTCTTCCCGTTCAACCTCGGCAAAGCCCGGGTTTGTGATACCCATCGCTGAAGTTACACGGTTGTGTTCAGAGATCGCTGCTGGCTCATTGCTTGGCTGTTTTTCCATCTCTCCCGCTCTGACGTGCTGAGCGCCATTTGGAATCTGTTGATGTTGGTGGGCACCATTTGGAATCTCCTGTTGATGGTGGGCATCATTTGGAACGTGCTGATGTTGGGTGGCATCGTTACTCCCTCGTTTCAACGATTCTTCCCCAGGTGCTTTAGGAGCTGGTCGTCTTGGGGCATAGCTCTTTGGGTGTGGTTTAGTAGTGGGTGTGGCTTTCTTGGGGTGTGGCTCGGTGGGTGTAGCTGCAGGCATGGGTCTCTTGGAATGGGAATCAGGTGTGACTCTCTTTGGGTGTGGCTCGGTGGGCGTGGTTCCCTTTGGGTGTGGTCCAGCATGTACTGCTATAGGTGTGGTGTTAGGTGTACGATTGGGAGGTGTGGTATTGGGCGTGATCTTTGGCGAATGGGACAAGATGCTCTTTCTCTTTCTGGACGACGGAGTGTTGCGAGCGATGTCATCTCGAAGATTCTCAAGTCGCTGTAGAACATCGGTCATCGTGGGCCTCTCTTTGGCTGGCTTCCAGCACAGCTGCATGATGTCATACCTAAGTATAGACCAAAAACGAGACTTATTCTATGTCAGTATAGGATGATGCACTCACAGTGGGAAGAGTAGGTCTGAAGGTTGGAATGGATTCTCCAGGATACATTGCCATGACGACTGAACAGTTTCGATCACCTCCTCGTTGGAGAGGTCAAAGTACGGCCACTGTGCAAACGTACCAACCTCCCACAGTGAGACACCAAACGACCTTTGAGAAAGGGGTTAAAACAGTTGGCCCAAACTGTAGCAACATGTACGAGGTTTCTTACCAGGCATTGGTAGTAGTGGAGACAGGGTTGGAGTCCAGAACATTGGCACCGCTGACTATCATCTGCTCTGGGGCCATCCACCTCACTGGCCACGCCTTCTGCCCTCTATCTCGACTGTAGTAATCCTCCTACAGTCACAAATACATTAAATACAGAGGCATCGCATGATGATACTGAGACTACTGTGGTATGACCTCAAAGACTTGTCTGGTGAGGCCATAGTCGCCCAGTTTGACTGTCTCAGTCTCAGACACAAGGCAGCTGCGCACCGCAAAGTCACTGCAATAAGAAAAGCAGCAAGCAACCATTCCAGTCACTGAGTACATAGTATAGTATGCAGAGAATAGCTACTGGTGGTGCATGAAAGATGAAGAAATGGGAGAGCAAGGAGCTAGACTGACTTGTGAGCAATGTTTTTGCTGTGAAGGTATGTGAGTCCAGCAGCCATCTGACAGGCGATGGCAATGAGTTTCCCTCCGTCTCTGAAGGCAGCTGCCTCCCTCCTCTTGCGGACCAGGTACGTCTTGAGGTTCCCATGGGGACAGTACTCCATGAGGATCATGATGGGAGGACCATCCACACACGCTCCCAGCAGCGACAAGACATTTGGGTGCTGGAGGAGACTGCAAGACATATCAAAGAGTGAAACTAAACTACTGCATAATATACACCTACTCTGTATGTACGTACCTCATAGCTTCAACAGGCCTTAGAAAGCTATCTTGTTCTTGTCTGCTTGAATTCTCCTTCAGTTGCTGCAGGACATGCACAAACAGGACGGAAGTATATACCAGTTGACTAGTATCTATCATTCCATCCATCCCCCTGTGAGTTGGGACTCACCTTTACAATGACTGGTGACTTTTTCTCCCCCGAAACAAGCTTTTTAGCTTCAGCAAAGAACACCTTGGCCAACATAATAGTAATAGAGAACATAATAGAGTGTAGTACTGTAATTTTCACATACCAAGCCAAAGTCTCCCTTCCCGATCTCTTTCTTGAGCTTGACTTGGCTGCGAGGGAACGTCATCTGAATATGAGCTGACTCTCCCTCTGCTCACAGAGAGAAGAGATAACGATATTTTGAATGGGGCGAATAGAGAATGTTTCTCACTCTGCAGTCTGCTGAGAGTGTCGTGTTGATAGCGTCTTCTAACAGCAGCTGTCCTGACAGGTCCATCCGTGCTCTCTTCTCCTTTCTTCTCTTCGTCCTCCAAATCTTCTGGAATTGATTGTAGGGATCCCCCCACCTCCTGCTGAGACGTCGTAATCTGCTGGACTTCTGGAGACGGGGAAGGGGCTGGCAAAGGAGAATCTGAACTGGTGACAGTTGTGCTTGTGGGGAGGGGGAGAGGTGTGCCACTACTGTTGCTGCTGTCACTGGTGGCAGAGGGCGAGTGAGAAATGGGAGGTGGTGTGGTGCCTGTGGGCGGAGTCAGGTTTGGCTCTGGCGGTGGGGATAATGGTCTGAGTCTGAGAAAAAGAGAGAGCATAGCATATTATACAGTACTTAATGTAGCAACAGATTTTCACGATTTATGACTAGACTGCCATTTGTTTCAAGGGAGCATAATTAATTTTCGCACTGACTTCCCAACAACATCTGCTATTGCATGGTAACTACAGTTGTTCAAATTACCTGTAACTCATTGAGGTGAGCATAACATTTCCTCCTTTCTGTGATTGTCCATTTGCTTCAGTTGCCGTCTTTGATTTAGATGACTGGTGCAGAGAAGGGGAAGACCCTGCAATTATCCCCGATCTTTCCGTATCTCTTCGTCTCAACTCCACTCCCACCATCTCCATCTCTTCCTATACAATGAATTTGTAATCTCATGAAAAATGATAGTATTGACTTGCATGAACAATGTCGAAGGTGTCTTTTCGTCCAGCTCTCAGCCTTTTGCAAATTCGGTACGTCACCCACCCCCCCAGGAGTACCAATCCCAGCAAAACAAGACCACAGAAACCAAAGAGGATGCCAAACACCAAAGAGTATGGGAACTCGGTCGGGGGCCAGTATGGTATGGGGTCACATGACACAGTTGTGGGTGTGGCACCAATCTCACAGAAACCCTCGTTACACGAGCTGCAAAGGTCAGGGTTCAAGGGGCCCAGACATCCGGCACCTTCCTCGCAGGATTCATGGCAGATTGCCTCATCTAAGATGGAACATAGATTAATTAGAGGGGCCTTGTCTCAATTATCAGAAGCTCTACAACAGCATTTATGAATGACTTACTGCACTCATCGTAGCCGGCATTATTTTGAACAACAAGTGTGGGGTAGCCACCTCCCTCGGCCCCCCAGGAATATTGCCACTGCAGAACCCCTGACCCCAGCAATCTTCGCCAGTCGATTCCTTGGTCCCCTCCAGGGGGGCGGGGGTTAAAAGCCCCCTCGGTCCACTGGGGGTACCCGGAATAGCAGAGAGCAGAGTTCTCCTCGATGTGAACGGTTCCATATTCAATGCTCATCAAGCTCCTCAGCCACCGTAGATCAGGCAGCAACGGATTATAGAGAACATTCAGTGCATGTCCTGCCACCAGATCAGCTCCTCCGATCGTCGTGATGTTTGATAGTCCGTCTAAATTGACAAGTCTCTGGTTGTGATCAATCTGCAGGTGTCCGCTAATTGTCTCCAGAGAAGAGAGACCGGAGACTTGGGTGAGGTTTGGGTTTTGGCTGATCTGTAGGTTCCCGAGCGTGCTCACTGCCTCCAACCCACTAATAGTGCTGAGTCTTTGGTTGTAGTAGATCCTCAGTGTCCCCGAAACTTCTTTAAAGTTACTCAGTCCACTTATCTCTTCCAGCAGATGGCAGCATTGGATGACAACTGAGCCTTTGGTGGGAAAAGAAGAGTTTTTAAAAGGTTTTCATACAATTGCTAGTAGAGCAATCAACACTTTTCCAAGGATGGAGCTATATAGTACTTCTTGCTCTCTCATACACGGCTTGATAGCTCAATACCTGTGACTGACACTAGTCCATCCAAAGGGGAGAGAGAAGTGAGGTTACATTGCGACGAACAGTCGGCAAATCCAACAGTCAGATCTCCTTCCACACTGGTGCAGTTACCGTAAGCCTCCATCAGCGAGTCATCGTCCAAGACCGGGATACTTCTACCGGGGCATTCTGCGACAGTGAATCTTTCGTTCGCATATCGCTACGGATCAACGTTTCAACTTACCTCGTCCGCTTACTGCGTGTAACAGGAGCAAAGACGACGTGGTAAGCAATGCAACAGCTGCAGTACTGCTCCTACGCATGGTGGTCGTCTTGCTCACAAGCCTAGCCGTATAATTATACTTCTAGCTCTGGCACAGCAAACGAGCCCCTCCCTTTTTTAAACGCTTACGTAATTTGTGCGCATGCGCGTGTACACAGTATGGACGGAATGAGGTGTTGGTCAGAGAAACTCTGCCAGTTTCTGTCGCACTACAGATGGCTGTTGGACGCATGCATCATCGTAAGCTACAGTAGAACCATTCTTCTCAGTGTCTCATCTTTCCACTGATTGCAGGAGTACTTTACTGAAGGTCACTGGAGCAAGTTACCTGAGTCATGGCAACAGAGCCTCAGGGGTGCATCCATGACTGGTGTCTCTCAGCTCTTGCTCTCGTCACCATTCCAGAGACATCGGTCAGGAGATATCAACACCACCAGACCCCTATGATTGAGGTATGCAGTAAAAGGGCCCTCTGATTGAAGAACAGTCTTGGTTCTGCCCCATACTTTCACTTTCCCGAAAGTGTGTTTTATTCAGAAGTTTAACTGTCTCCCAGGTGGCCCTTACCCTTAACCTTCCCCAAGGTCCCTTATTCAGAGGTTTAATCAACGTTTCTGCAGACCAGTGGACAGAGTTTACCCTCTCTCCCTGTTGGCGTTTGTGGCTACGGCTCACTCTCTGTCTCTCTCAAGAAGACCGCCTCGGCAGGCGAGTGAGGGACGGACAGATGAGGAGGAGAAAGAAGGGAGGGGTTCCAAGTCCCAGGTGGCTGGTTTGGAGCACGTCTTCAGACGACACGTGAAACCAAAGAAACAACATGAAATTAAAAATCTCGCCAAGGTAATCATGTAGGTGACTGGAAACACTTGATGGTGTAAGTTGTTTTGCCTTACACTGTACACTGTTCGTGCAAATCATGATCACCAAATGGCCTAAATCTTCGCCAAAACATTTTCCCTCGTTGCATCGTGTTATGATATATACAAAACTGTTTGCGAGTGATAGATGTACACACACATGCAGGAAGTCTTGAAGATTGTTCAGAAAACTGGCTGCAGAGACATTATTGTGAGACCATTTTACATCTGGTCATTATTACAATTCACCTTTTTGTGTAGGACATTGGCTCTGGGCAGGTGAGCAAGTCATTCATCATGTTGAAATTTAGGTGTTTTTAGAATGTGATTCTAACTCGATGTGTTCACGTATGAAGAGGCAGTTGATTTGTGTGTGTGTGTGTCAGGGCCACCTGGCACGGTACCTGGCCTACCACTGTGGACTGAATGTGGTGACTGTGGATGCTGTTGGATGCCATCTCATGGCTGCTGCAAAATTTGACAGGTCCTCTATAATTATACTGGATAAAAAAGTTTTGCTTAAAAAATCGGAAAGGGGTGGAGATACCATTGACAAGTAAACCATGAAGGTTTTATTCACCGCTCCATACAAAGTGTTCCTCAAGTGAATTTCAAACACACTATGGTTGTGTGAGTGGAGTGACCTGTTTTGTCTGTGTGTCTCAGTGAAGTGGAGAGGGACATTGGGAAGAGGGTCGAGGCTGAAGCTGCAACTGGCAGCATCGTCCACATCGAGTCTCTGGTGAGAAAAGCCTTTACATCATTTTACAACGATGCATAATTTGACAGTGGTAAATAAGTGCACTATGTATGTAACGCTATTGATGGTCTGTTGGAATTAGCAGCAAATTCTAGTCTGTCAAGATTTTTAGCAGCTACAATAATATAGTAACCAAAGTTTCAGGCAGAATCACCAAAATTTTAACAAAGCGCTGCCCATCCCATTTAGGTTCTGAATCCAATAAATTGTTCTCCTTATTTCAGATCCAGCCGGATATATCACTAGAGGAGCTACTGTGCCGACTTGGTGTCAGTGACTCGCCGCTTTCCCCGTCGACAACCGAAACAGGACTGACCAGTTTCATACTGGTTGGACTGCATACATGTGGAGACCTGGGCCCCACTCTGCTGAGGCTGTTCTCCCAGAGCCAGAGACTGGCGGGTGTTCTGTCTGTTGGCTGCTGCTACATGAAACTCAGCTGCTGCCCTGGAGAGCCAGGGGTACCACCTGGTGACCCATCACATGGTGAATGAGGCTTGGTAGATACTGTATAGTTAACTAAACAATCGGAACAAAAAGGTTTTGTGAAGCGTGAAGTGATATTTGTCCATGGACATCGGAAGTGCAGAGATGTCCCTATTCAATACTATCACTTTGTAGACAGGAGCTTTTTATTCAGAATGTCTTTTTATATTATGTCTGATTATGTTTTGCTAAACCTATACTTAAGTGGGATTCACTGTATTGTGTGAAGGGGGGAGAGGGAAGAGAGGTTACCCGATGAGTGGCTGGGTGGCTGACCTCCCGTCTTCTCGACTCAGCTACGAAGCTCTCGAAGTCGCCTGTCACTCCATCGACTCCTACAGAGACAAGATCAGTGGTGAGCTGGTTTCACCAAGTTGTAGCCTGTTAGACATATCACAGAGCATCTAGTCACTTAGTTGGCACCGCTAAGCATGGATCATCCACTGCAAAAGGCCCCAGAACTGAGCATCCACCACAGAAGTCTGAAAAAGTGTGGAAAGGAACTTTTCCCTCCCCCTCTTGCAGACGATTCTCATCACGTGAAGGTTCACTGTCATAGAGCTGTGGTGGAGACTGTTTTGAGGAAAGTGAGGCCACTTTAATAAGTAGGAAATAAAGATGGCAGTATAATGTTACTAAAAAACAAACGTAATTGCATTATAGCACAGGGCCCCTATTTGATGCCGTATTCCATTCAACGTATGAGTCTGATAAATGACAGTTGCTTCTTCAACAGTATGGTCTGAGGAGGAGTCAAGTAAAGATTTCAAGAAGAATTTCAAGACTTCCATTCACAGAGTTAGCTCTAAACGAGAGAGAGAGAAAGAAAGCAAGATAATAGGGATATTTTCTCTCCACAGGTATGCTACTGCGGTTTTGGAAGGACTGATCATACCTCTAACTGAATGTGAGAAGACCTGCATATATATAGTAAAGTATACAAACCTTTTGAGGAAGAGACTTGCTATAATATTTAGCACCCTTTGACTCCTACAGAAAAATACTCGTACAAGCAGTCCTGCCCATTACAAACTTTGTCGAAAGAACGTTGTCTCATTGTGAAATATTTCTCTTGCAAGTTTGCCACTGGAGATACTGAAACCATTCTCTCCACACTTTCTGTATCAGTGGAGCGTGATAGGGAGGAGTTGTTGGCCATGGCGGAGGAGTGGAGAGAGGTGGCTGTGTTCTTCATGTTGCGGCTGTCTCTGGCTCCCTGCGTGGAGTCCCTCGTCGTGTGTGACAGACTCCTCTTCCTCTCAGAACAAGGTGATCTATAGCACACATTGAGCCTCCACTATAGCATCCAGTGAGCCTCCACTATAGCATCCAGCGAGCCTCCACTATGCATCCAGCGAGTCTCCACTATAGCATCCAGTGAGCCTCCACTATAATATAAGACACAAAGGGACCATGAAGTACTGCATATTAGGTGCTTTCCCGGTAAATGGTAATGAAAGGGCAGAGCAAGAGTCCACAACTCACAGAATATTGACACACATCTCCTTACCAGTGGCACAATAGTGGTGACACCACTAGACTATCCTGATGGGTCTTGGTCTATAGGTGTAAATTTAAAGGGGGTCTGGAGTTTTAGGCAAAAATTTTCCTTTTGCTGTAGGTTTTGATGTGCAGCTGAAGGCAGTGTTTGAGCCAACAATATCTCCAAGAAACCTGCTCGTTTTGTCTCTCAAATGATGCTCTGCCCATAAACTACCACTCAGTTGTATACGAATCAATGGCTCTTGAATTACAGCAAGACACGAGAGAAAAAAGTAAAGAAATTATGATACAGAAAATAATTGAGAAAACGTTTGCATTGGTTCTGCCGGCAGATGTCGTATATATAGCTGAGAAAAGGCCGCAGCAGTTGTGCTATCGAGAGAGAGTTTCAGGTAGGCCTGTGGCTTGGACTGTTCTTGGCAGCATTCTTCTTATTCTGGAACTCCTGAAAGGGATTCTGTGACGGAAAATCGTCTTCTCTCTTGGTCCTCATCTTCTTCACCTGAAACAACGACGACAACAGAGGTGAATCTGCTAATGGCTACAAACAACATTGTTAGAGAATCTTCGAATGGTGGACCAGTCATGATGTGGTACACCAAAATTATCGTTCCAGTCCATTAAAGTAACCGTCTGTGTCACTTGTGTACAGCTCCTAGGGCCCCTACAAATTATAATCTTAAAATTACACAATCTACGAATTTCGTTGCCACTTGACTTTGAGTTCAGTTGTCATGTCTACCTTTCCCTTGTCGAGCTCTCTGTCCCAGTTATCTCGATCACTCTCCTTCTTCTTGTGCTGTCCTTCGTGAGGCACTGCAGTATCCAGACTGTTACTGCCACCTTCCCATGACCTGACTGTAGATAAATGTACAGTAACCTCATAAAGGAAAACACTGCGAGGTCCCAACAATCAAAGTGTGTGTCTGTGCTGTGTTGACATGTACTTGATAAAACTGGACTTGCCATTGGTTCCTAGTTGGTTTGAGGTGTGGCTTGTCAACGTGTCGATGACATCATCCCTTCGAGAGCCGTCCCACCTGCTTCCTGGGGGAATCCCCTCACCTCGTCTCCCCTCCCCCTTCAGCGAGAAATCCCACACCACCTCAGGCACCTCTCCCCCACTCCTCCCCTCCTTCCCACCCTCCTCTACGCCACACAATGAATCTGCCATCTTTGTCGGTGCAGTCGACCCCTCCTCCAATAGATGCCCACCCTCTGCTCTGTGTTTGTCTGCAGTGTGGGCGTGGCTCTTACTCTCGGCAGACTTCACGTCTCCGACAATACCAGTGGCACCGCCGGACGGTCTAGTCTTGACCACGTGTTTCGAGGACCTGATTCTCTCGTGATGATGACTGCTGTGTTTGTGGTGATGATGATGATGGTGACTGGACGAGTGGCGTTTCTTCTTCGTTGCATGATGAGCGTCTTGTCTCGTCGACTTGTGTCGGGTACTGCTGTGCGAGTCGTCGCTCCCAAGACTCCAGTGTCTCTTCCTCTGTCGCCTGCTACTCTCCGGGCTCGGGGAGCGATGCTTGGACTTGTGCGAGGACCTGCCGGCGTGCTGCTTCTTCCCTCCAGTGTCGTGATGCCTCGATCTCCCCTCTTCCCTGTGACTACTCACGTGTTTCCTCTCTTCCCTCCCCCTCCTGTGCCAACCCCCACCCCGATCGCTGTCCCGTTCGCTCTCCTCCTCCCTCGAACTGCTCCTACTGCGACTACTTTCGCTGCTCGAACTCCGAGAGTGCCTCCGGCTTCGACCCGAATCGTGACGCGAGCGTTTTCTCTCTCTCTCCCAGTGGCCCTCGTGCTGCGGCGTCTTTCTCTTCTTCCTCGGTCTCTCGTCTTCGGAACCATCACTCTCTTCATTGGTGGAGTAGTCGGGAGAGCGTTTTCTGCTCCTCTCGACCTCCGTCACACTGGTCTTCCCGTGTTTCCTCTCTCGTTGTTCGTTTCTCTCTTCATCCGTTTTGCGGTTCTTCTTCTTCTTGCGCTTCTTTCGTTTCTTCACTTCGGGCGGCGGCGAAAGAGGGGGCGGTTTCGGCATTTTATCAGAGTCTCTCTCGTCTTCGTTCTTCAGTTCCGGAGTCTGTTGCTGAGATTCGGGGGTTACGTGGGGACTGGTTGGTGCTAGAGCTGGTGTGCCAAGTGGCCTCCACCCCGGTTTGGGATTCCGCGCTGCTCTGTTAGTGAGTGACTCGCCTGCCAACCCCTTGATCGTCTTGAACACTTCCTTGCGGCTGGCAGCATCGTGAACAAGCACCTCCTTGGGGCCCATGTCATGGACGACTGGTTGTACTTTGGCAACTGGTTTGGCAGGTTTTACCTGTGGCTGCACCCTGGCGATCTTGAGAGAGGGTGAGGTGGACAAGTTCGCAGCACTATAGGGTGTGGGTCCCGGCAGTAGAGGTCCAATAAACACCTCCCCACTGCCTCCTTTTTTCGCCAGAGGTTCCCCAAAGGCCCCCTCCCTGTCTCCTCCCATCTCACCAATACCAGGTCCCCGGCTGGGTTGGCTCGCTCCAACCTCTTGATACGTCTTGACAGCCAATTGCTGCAGCAACTTTTTCTTCTTCGAAGATGACGGGGCTGCAATAACCCTCGGGACGAAGGACGGCGTTCTTGGAGCACGAATTACAGGTTTTGGAGGTTGGGCGGGGACGGGCGGAGTCTGCAGTTTAGGGGTGTGGTCGATGTCGGACTTTCTCAATGGGAGAGACAGGCGGGGCTGTTGGGCGTGGCTGGAGGAGGAGGGTGTGGCAGGGGAGGGGCCATGAGGAGAGGGCTGGACAATACCAGTTGGTTTCTGTTTCACAAACGGTGAACCGGTTTTGTCCAGGTGAGGTGGGCGTTTCACCGGCTTTCCGAGAAAGTTTGGATCAGGTTGGACTGAGAGAGAAACGACGTCTTTCTCATCCACACATCAGCAAGCTACTATATACCTATGTATGCATACCTTTAGGTTGAGAGGGTGGAGTTGAGGGTGTGGTGGGCATGTCAGCAGAATCAGCAAGGGGCGGAGGAGGGGGAGGAGGTTGATAGCTAAGATCTCTTGCATAGAACAAGAGATATGCCTCCTGCTGTAGGACCTGCTGTAGACTGGCCTGGTACACCTGTATGGGTACCATGGCGACAAGCAAAATTTGGAGCCCAAGTTCAGTAATCCTGGGTGTATCTGTGTTACATTTGCTAATTGTGCTATTCTGTACGTCACCAGTGCCAGCATGTACAATGTTGCAGGCTCACATACAACTGTAGTTAAATTGCTAACGCTATCCTCCATTAACACTGTGGTGAACCGCTGCATACACAATGCAAGACTAAATTAATTGCACAAATCCCATTTTGTAGCTTGTTAGCTACTTACTTATTGATGAATGGCTTGTTTAGCATTGCTCAGCAAACATACTTTGAAACAATCTTGTTGATTTACTTTTCATGAATTGTGTGTGTGGCAGTGGATGAACTAATTCGTCTGGTTCAGTTTTGATATTAATTGCAGCTGGACGACAATAATGTGTCTGATTAGACGAGTTATGCAGCTCTGATAATTAAATGAAATTCATACGTTGGAGGGCCACCCTATATCACTCCAGATAATGCATGTTGTTTCTGTTCAAAACATGTCTCTCATTCCAACTTTCATCTTTCCCCCTATCTCACTCTTAACTTTTGTCTTTCCCCAATATCTCGCTCCAACCTATTAATAGAACTGGTGACGTCATCTCTAAACATACCTGTGCATCATTGAGGCAATACCATGTCTTGTTGGAGTTCCTGATGTAGCAGTAGTAGTGACCGGAGCGGCATGAACAACCACTGTGGACCAGGACGGCATACAGATGGTACCACTGGGGAGGACCCTGGTAATTAGGAGTGAAACAACTGCTTATGGTGAAGCACTTTCTTGCAGTAGCATTGTTGGACAGAGATAGAGAGAGAGAGAGAGAGCGAGAGAGAGCGTGTGTGTAGGGGGAGGTTACTAGGGAAAGATGTGTGACCTGCATACACTAGAGTAAGAGGCTATTAAACCAACCCTTGAGAATATGAAGTGTATCTACCCTCCTTCCACATTAAGCCATGACTATGGAATGTTGTATATATACCTTTTTGAACGTCATGTAAGGTCTCATGTCGAGATGGGCTGGGTACCCCACATGTTTGTTTATCTTACCACCAAACAGACTGTTGTAATCAAACCTGGACACGAGAGAGATAGAGAGATGAGAGAGAGAGAGAGAAGAGAGAGAGATGACCTTATCTCGTTCCTTGCTTTCGTCTTTCCCCCTATCTCGACCCGTACTCAAAAGATGTAATGTAGCTGACCTCTTGAGTTGAATGGTGAGAACATTTGGTAGACGATGTAGTGTGAATCGTTTCTGGGCCGGAGTCATCTTCTTACAACTGGTATATACATAATAACAGACAGACACACAGTTTTTAAAAAACCGCCGTGCTTCATTATCAAGACTCACAACGTTCTTCATTATCAAGACTCACAAGGGACAGGCGTACTGGTTCTCTCCGTCAAGAGCGTCCGGTTTGGTGAACCGGTTTAGAGCCTGTTTGAGGTTCCCGCAGGTCTTTATGTCCAGACTCACGTCCAGGAGAGGGTCAAAGGTCTCGGATGTCTTCTGGCACTCAGAACACTTCACTAGAACAAGAAGAGAAAGTCTAAACGTCCAATTTTTTAAAACTCCTGCATGTTTAGATGTAAGACACGTGCACTGGTTTAAAAAAAAAACAGCTATGAAACAGGAAGGGAGAGAGGGGAGGAAAGAGGGGAGATGGGAGAAGATAGAGAGCTCACCTGCACTGCAGTGGTACCCTCCAAAGACCTGGTGGATGACGGTGGTGGCCTTGGAGTGAGGATCCAGCTGTGCAGGCAGTCCCTGGAGGCTGCTCTTTGCAGCCCGTCCACAAAGTAGCGCAGGAACTCGTGAGCATCTTCTTGTCTCCCTTGTCTAAAGTGCTTCCCTACAACTGTGTACAGATGTGTGTATATACAGACACAGTGTGTATCTTATTATGTGTACTATGCCACATCATAATAGCTCTGCTACACTGCTATCTGCAAAAAGCATTACGATATGCTACGAGACAAAGCAAAAGATCTCAAGGTAGACGCACTTTTTAAAACAGCGACCTTGCAACTACAGACCTCGTAGGTTCTGGACGATGGGTACTGGTTTGACCACACCTCCTGTCGTGTTCATGACTCTCTGGGTGTGTTTCTGCAGTTCACACATGGTACAGAACCCTTGACTTCGACCTGACGGAGAGAGAGAGAGAGAGAGAGAGAGAGAGAGACAAAAATGAGGAGATAGGGACAGGCGGAAAGGGGAAGAGAGTAAAAAAGTGGTCTAGAAGTAGCAACAGACAGCTGAAGGCACAGAGATTGACAATTCATTCAGCGGTACTGAACCCAGCCATATGTAGGTATACACATGTCGAAACCTAAGTTCGCTCTCTCTCTCTCTCTAGTGACAAACGAAAACCCACATAGTCTCTTGTGGTGCTCAGAGGTGAGGTAGTTGAACAGTGGCGGTGTGTACGTCAGACATTGCAGCACGGAATTCAAGAAACATGTGTTTCCCATGTTGCTGAGACCTGCTCCCACACCTCGAGGACCCTTCCATTTCATCTCCAGCTGTCCAGGGTCGTACAGAACCCTCTTGGGCGCCGGGATACTGTCTCTGGGAGTCTCGTGATCCCCAGAGCTCGAAGAAGAAGCGGCGGGGTTTCCACTGCCCCCGCCGGGGGACTTGTCCGGGGTCAATTCCGGCATTCTGGGATTCAGTGGGCGATAATTAGATTTGAGGCGCTCGATGTAGGCGTCGGGTTGGGTGGCCGTCTTGAAGACTATCTTCTCGTCGAAGTAGTGTCGACACGACGCCGCGAGGTGCTCGTCTATATTTGGCCTTCTGATGGGGCTTGTTGCCAGAGCTTTTCCCTCGCCCTCTCGCTCGTTTTCCATCAGTTCTGGGTGGTTGCCATTCTTGTAAAGGCTTGCAAAGGTTCCAACGTCTATAAAAACTATACAGACCCTAAGATACTAAGTTCAGAAACTTTTTTTCAAGAAAAACCACACACGTGCGCGCGTGTGTGGAGACAACTGTCTAATTATACGAAAACTATTTCGATATTTCTTGGTGAAATAATGGCAACAGCAGCCGCGGCTTCTTCTCGCAATGCCCAGCTTGACGAAAGGATAGAGAAATTGGAATCGATAGAGAAGGTGGTACTAGTTATAACATTATCCCGTTACAGCTGTTAATCATCTATAGGACATTGGGAAGCTAATGAACCTGGCTGCAAATGCTGTGAGCGAACTTTGCAAGCCCCGCCCATCATCCGAAACGGTTGAGTACACCACGAAGGACTTTGTCAAGACGCTAGATGTGAGCTTGGGAAAGGTTTTGCAGCACACTCAGGTTAACTGCTCCCTCGACTAATGCACACACTGAATCCAGGGTGTGGACAAATGTCTGAGCGAACAGATACAATACCTCACTCAAGTGTCTACCATGCAGCCACACGAAGGCTCGGTATATGGTCCAGAGAAGGTTTGCACAGTGCGACCTCACCCCAGCTATACATAGCTAGCTCCATATCCTTCTGCAGGATTATGAGCTGTCGTACTTTCAGACTGCCCTAGCCAAAGAGCGACTTCAGAGGTTGCAAGGAGCCAGTTCACCGAGACAGCTGAACGGACGCTCCTCTGCCTCCCTCCCTCCCCCTTCTCTCCCTCCTCCCTCCTCACATCCCTTATGACCAACACTCTTTCTTCCCTATTTTCAACCTCTCATCATTCTCCGGCCATGTATAATATTATAATGATTATGTTGTCGAAGTTTCAATCGTTTTGCACTCCATCAGACTAATGCAATAACGCGATCACAGTTCCTTGTTACCTGACCTCTGAGGAGCCAGCCAAAATTATCTCCACTGGTACAATACAACTGAAATGCCATCACTTACAACAAGGCAACGGCAGACAAATTGGTAACACCCATTCCACGAACATCCCAACAAGACACGCAGATGTGAGAACACGTAAACCATGACAAGGAAACAGGCAAAATTTGTCATTAATGGTTATACATGCATGGGCCCAGCTTGCTATATTAGTAAAAATAACGCTCAAATTATATTATCCTTAGCTGAGCTGTTTTGCAAGTATTTACACATATAACCTGATTCACTTTCAAAATTGCTATATATACCAATGGAGAATAGTGTGCGTTCAATGATTGTTTCCAACAAAGACAATGATGATCGCTATAAATAGTTTCACAAGAGATTGATAATATATAATAAAATGGCAAGAATGATTCATGATATTCCAGAGGGTGATTAGCAGCAGTGGGTTATCGAAATGATATATGAAAACACATACAAAAAGTGTTAGTTGACAGGCTTGGTAAAGTGGACAGAAAAATAGATACTGAAACGGTGGGAATTGTTCAATTATCTTCTAGCTTTCTCTCGCTGGTGTCTCCGATGGTGAAGGGCCCTCTCTGATGACTGAGTGCTATGGCCGATAAGAGTGTTCATTTCTTCTACTGAGTAGGGAGTGAGTGGGCCAAGTGACCTATGGCTTTGCTCACGATGTACCTACAACCCAAACAAGACACGCCCACATTCACAACACACTAAAATTGAAAACACATTCTTGACAGCATTACAGGGACACGGCGTCACACAAGGACACAGCTACCAAGAAAGGCCTACCTCGAGTTTCTGACGTTCTTGTCTGACCACGGCACCCGAGTGGACCCCTTCGAGAACTGTGGAAAAATGCAATTCCTCCGATAGCTCACCGGGAAAAGTAATTAATAATGAATACGTATTCCCGAGGAAGACTTTCTGCCCATTCCCGAGCTGCCCACAGTGCATGCTCCTAATTGGATTAAGGGTTTACTATACTAGGCCTACTAGCTAAACAGCAGTTGAGCATCTGCAACGCTACGTGCATACCTTGGTTCTGTAGCTGCCTCCGTCGTCGCGTGTGGGAGCCGCCGAGATTGCAGTCACACCTCAGTTGCATCGTCTGCCGTTGCTCTGAGGAGTTTGTTGATATTCTCCGAAAGCAGTAACGTGCAAAGATGCCACGACGCTGGATTGAACTGTCAGAGTGGAACCAGAGCTGCGCCCTTCTCCTCCGCTGTATGGTGACACTCTCTAATGTCCTGCAGTATTTTTTGATGTCCGGTTGGTTTTTGCTGGTCTGCACTGAGAAGTAGTCTTTTTCACAGTTGGGGGTCGGCTCCACGTCAAATTCTTCAAACACTATCCACAACTGGCAGTTCTGCGGGATCTTGATCTGCCATATCTTGTCCTGGTTTGCTATGTACGAGCCCTCTAGTTCTCCCAGCAAACGATTGAAGTTGTCTGTAGCTATGATTCCCTCAGGGCCTAAGTCTTCCATACCAACTAGAGTCCTATTTACAACTTTCACGAGTTCTTCAGTCAGGGCAGTGCCGCTGCCCTCCTGGACACTGTGAGAAGATGAGGAAGGGATAATTATTGGAATACAATGATATCCAGGTGGAGGAAATGTATTCATAGGTTTTATCTGAGGAACAGTCTCCGGGCGTATAAACTGCTAGGGTAAACTAGTATACGCAAGTGTGAAACGCGGATTGGAATACTAAGCTTGCTATACGGCGCACTCACCGGTTTCTGACTCACCAGTTCGAGCTCACCTGCCCGCCATTGCAGTCCAGGATCGGCCCGCTGTGCTGAGACTGGCTCTCCGAGAGATGCTCGTAGGCAACCGAGAGATTGTACCGCAGAATCCGATCCCCTCTCCTGCATTATGCAAAATTTAACCTCCTGTTACACAGTGCAACTGGTATGTATGCGCTCCGAACTGCATGTCAAATAGCTACCTACAACCTACCAGGATTCATTGCACCATCTCTCTTCGCAGTTGAAAGTAACAGCCAACGGCTCGCCGGGGTCTGCCGGCGTGTCGGAGTAGTAGGACGCGCACAGACAGCAGCCCGCTACCACCACCAGCAACAAGGGAGTTCGAAAAATCCGATTGCTGCAATGCATCTTGCTACTTCGCCAAAGTTTCCACGCGCGCAGTAACGCTCCTGCACACTCACTAATCCCACGCCCACTTTCTCACGAAGGCAATCACGTCTATGAATATCGCTATACTGTAGCGCAAATTTTCAGCGCCTTTCTTTTATACACCAGCAAAATTCCATTGCAAAATCTTTCAGCTCTGCAACCCGACATCAGTAGGTACAGGCATTTCCCCGTATAAAGCAAGCGAATTCGCACCTCGACAGTATCAGCCACCCACATAGATGATA